AATACATGCAAATTGAGATAAATAAAGCATTTTTTTAAATTTTGATGTTGATAACTGGCTCACAGCTTGTAAAAACCCCAAATAAAACATTAAACAAAAGATTTTGAAAATGAATCAAAGCCATGTTTATGAAAATTATTACAAACATGGATCACTTTGCATGTAATAAGTCTATATCAGAAATTGGTTTAACATTGAGTTGAATTACAGAATTGAACTTTTGAATGGCATTCTAATGTTCTGTGTTTGACCTCTATACATTTATGTGGCCTTTTAATTTGATAAATGAAATACACACAAGTTAGGTATAACTTATAAGAAGAACCAGACATAGTAGCTTTATGAAGGAATATATGTATGTCTTTTAAGGTATTTCTAATTCAAATCTGTAAATCCAGTTTACAATCCATACGTTTTGTTTATGACCTTGTCTTGCTTCTTCTTCACAGGTGTTCAGAGGATATAGGATTTCCTGACATGGGTTGAGCGAGCACATACACTGAATGCCATACAACAAGTCAACCATGACTGAAACTGGGAACCCTCAATCAGCTGCACTAAAGGGTAATAAAAGAAAAAATCACCAACCTTTTGTCACCTCATATTTGGCAACAAACCATGAAGAAAGTGATTTACAGGACACAGTCATAGTGGATAGTTCTCTAGATTGTGGGATTTTGTTTTTGAATCCACTAACTCCAAAATGGAACAGAGGGATTGGAGAAAAACCTCTTTCAATATTGTCTGAGGAAGAGGAAATTTGGGTCCAAAGAAAGGACAATCCTAAACAAAATTTGGTGGGAAAAGAATTAAATAAACAGGTCCCATCAAAGCTCAAAAAGGTTAAACTCAAAAAGAAGTATTTGACTCTGCAAACTTCGTGTCGTCAAATGTCGTCAACATCATCAGGAGGAACTGATTTCAAAGAAAAGATTTCAGAAAAAAGGCGGCCCAAACAGCTGGTTAAAACAACATTGAGAAATTGTAAACTCAAAAATCAAGATATGAAAAAGCGATCCAGGAATAGCGAGATTATCAGAAACGGTTTGGATATTTCAACCTCATCCTCTGAAGAAAAGGAGATCTGCTTACGAAGTCATGAGAATGCTGAAGGTACATTGTCAAAAATCGGTAAAGAAATTATTTCAGATAAAGATTACAAAACCAACCAACCACCATCTGATCAACTCACAAACGAGAAGATTACGAACGTGGAAAACTGTGTTCAGATTTTAGCAGACCACCAAGAAAAAGTAGCTGGTGACGCTCAAGAAAGAATCATTGGAGAAACAAAGATGGCTGAGAAGGACAAACAGGTGATCTCTAAACTCAAAGAGCTTCACAACAAGGGTAATGATGGCAACGTTTCTGTGGGAAAGTTACACAAAGACGATGTCAAGATTTCTCGACTTTTGGAAACAATGAAAAAACGAGAGGAAATCGACTCGGAACAACGGCCCTTCAAATGTCCGCATTGTCACTGGGCCTTCAAGAAGTTGTGCTACCTGCAAAGCCATTTGACAACCCACTCCGGACTCAAGCCCCACGTGTGCGATATCTGCGGTAAAGCATATTCTCACCAAGGAACTCTTCAGCAACACAAGCGGTTGCATACGGGAGAACGGCCCTACCATTGCCCTTTTTGCGACCGAAGCTACATTTGGTCTTCAGATTACCGCAAACACATCCGCACACACACTGGAGAAAAACCGTACGAATGCAAAGAGTGTGGGAAAGATTTCATTCGATCTTCTGACTTGCGAAAGCACGAACGCAACATGCACACCAACGACAAGCCCTTTCAGTGCTCCCATTGCGACAAAACGTTCAACCGGCCCTTGTCGTTGAAAAGACACGAGCGGAAACATCTGGGAGAACGTCCGTATTCTTGTCCCGATTGCGGTAAGAAGTTTTCGCTGGAGAGTCGCATGGCCGAACATCAGAAAATCCACAAAGGAGTGCGTCCATTTGTATGCACCGTGTGTGCAAAATCTTTCACAAAATCCTCAAATTTGGCAGAGCACGAGGCCATCCACAGCGGTATAAGGCCCCATAAGTGCGGAGATTGCGGGGTGTCCTTCGCCATGGCGTCCAGGTTGGTTCGACATCAGAACATGCATAATAATGGGACAGTGCACAGTTGTGTGAGCTGCAGTAGGAACTTCAGCTGTTTGGCAAATCTGGAGCAGCACCAGCAGCTGAACTGTGCCGGCAGAATCTTTGTCTGTGTCCAGTGTGATAAGTCATTTAGGTGCGCAGACAAGCTAGCACAGCACATGCAGCATCACAGCGGCAATGACGAGCTAAAATAATGTTTATTACTAAACCGTTATTACAGTTGAACACCTCCCCAACACTGTAATCACTGTATTGTAATAAGGTGTGTGTGTGTGTGTGTGTGTGTGGTGTGTGTGGTGTGTGTGTGTAACAGATTGATGAAAGATGTAGATGAAATTGTGGTAGATGGGATGTGACTGTAGGAAGACCAATCAAGTTTTGTGACAATCCAAACACCAAAAGTAAAGGTAGTATTTTCAAACAGATGCACTAATAGCCAGTTGGTATTGTGTATTTAGAATTTTTCTATGTATCGTGACAGATTAGGGGGTCAACAGTATTCCATAATTTAGATTGAAGACATACAGCACTGTCTCTCCTTGACCCGCTCAGTCTGAACTCCTTCAGACAAGTTGAAATCTGAGCCACCAGCTGCTGCTATGGGATACTTCATTATTAGGATGCAGGTCCCTTAAACCCAGTTATTTCACAAGATGCATGAGTGAGAGTCTGGCCCACATGTCTTCCTCAAGCAGGAAGTGTTTGCTTTGATTACAGGCAGAAAATTGCTTTTATAAAGCAATCAAACACATTCTTAAACCAACCCCAGAGCTATATTTTATGTTGTTGTAGCTCTTTAAAAATTATATTATTATATAATATTATAGGAATTTAATGTTTCTTTCTTGTCAATGAAAAAACTTCTCATTTATGATTTTTTTTTATTGATATTACAAGGACCAAAATTTAACAATTACATGCTATACAATAATTATAATTTACTATCATTAAATTCAGAGCCTTATATACAGTTTACAAAACAACACAGGATCCGTTTCATACACATCCCAACTTTAAGTGGTTCTTGGACAGCATAAGAATGTACTTTGTAGATGAAAATATTTATATCTGTGACATCACCTAATCTTCACTTTTTAGAATAATTAGTGACCAACATTGAGGTTATATTTTAGTATTATATTAATATGTAGTATGAATTAATTATAGGGTTTAATATATGATTGTTTTGGAACTTTTGCACTCCAGCATTCATGAAACAAAAGATACATTCTTTCATACACCAGTCCTTAAAGCTAAATGAAGATCTTAACTCATTAAGACTTAAGGCTGTAAAAGGGTTTTTGGTAAAATTCCCTGAGTGTTTGTTTGTAATGCTTTTGACTGTTGCAATAAAATAAATCAGACCGTTATCTACAGTCAGACAATAAAGAATTATCTTTTGAATGACTTTGTCTTTAATGGAATTTTAATTGTGCCACATATGATCTGCTTTATATCAAGCCGGAGGGGATTGCAGCACTACCCATGACACAAATAGTTACTGTACAGCGTTTTACTTGTGCTCTCAACATACACTTTAGTTTGTAAATTGTATTAGTGCTTTTCCTCCATTATGATAATAGATGTATACAGCAGGTTATGAAAGTACTATTACAGCTTGAACTTCATTTGTGGTGTTATGACACAAGTATAATGTTTTATTTTACTTGAAGCCCACAACAAAGTAACAGAAGTGAAGTGAAAGCAAAATATATATATGATGTTGTATACCTCAGACTCAGAGCTACCTTTAGACTGTTTTGGTCACTACACAACATCATGAAGTACAAACACACACACACACACACACTCACTTTAAGTGCTATAAAGATGACATCTCAAGGAGCACTGTTTTATGCATTATTCCAAAACAAAGTGTATGACATCACCACTGAAAACCTACCAATACATGGCCATCCACTTAAACTAGCAAGCCAAAAAAAGAAGTGCACTGATCAGAAATGCAACCATGAGCCAGAGGATAACTCTGGAGGAGTTGCCAGCTTCTGCAGCTGAGCTAGGGCAATCTGTATATGGGGCAAATATTAGTCACACTACAAAAATCTGACCTTCAGCATGAGCCAGTGTTGAAAAAACAAACAAGAAGTGAGGGTCACATCTGAATGTGGTCGGATGAGATCAAAATGTTAAAACCCTATATGCACCACCTATATGGGGATCCCAATTAGGGAGTTTCAGCATTATGTTATTGACCTGCGTTTCTTCAGCAGGGACAGGGGAAAAACACTTCCGACTGGGGTGGATGATTATCTACCATCATGGTGATTTTCCCAATATTATACTATATTTTCATACAATATAGATAGAGTTTAGTTTGAATGTCCCAGTCAATGTCCACTCCAGACCTAAATCTAAGGTCTAATCTGACAGAGTTTGAGTTGTTTCATAAGACAAATGTGCAAAAGTTTCAGTCACTAGTTGTGCAAAGCTTGTAAAGTCAGACCCTAAAGGATTCTCTGCTGTGATAGCAGACAAAGAGGCTTCCAAAAGGTACTGGTACTGTACAAATACTTATTAACGTTCCACTTTTCAGTTTTTGATTAGTTCTTAAGTAACAACATCATACATAATTTTTCTGTCACAAAGTTAAGCTATACTTTCTTGAGGTCAAGTTAAAAAAAAATCCAAATACCATCTTATATGTTCATGGCAATATGCAATATACACAGTCTCTAATAAAAATAATATAAGTCATACAGTACAGATCTAATGGTCAACGCTTCTTCTTACAAGTGCTTCTATCAAAGCTCTTGTATCTTAATGTGGATCTGACAATTCCAATATGGAGGTAACCTAAATCATTTGCCAGTAGTGATACAGATACCAGTTTGCTGCCGTGCTATTCACCCAGTTTGTGCTATTCAAATCACAAGATATGTCCTGTATGTTCGCTTAGCTACGGTCAGCTCCATGAAGTAGGTGGAATAGGAGGAGCTCTGCCCTCTGGTCCTGTGTATTTGGAGGTCCAGCAGAGGTAGGTTTAGAGGCTTATATGGTGGTCCTGCAAGAGAGCAGTTCATGAGACATGTGTACAACAATGTTATAAATACATTATATTAACATTTACATACCAAACATGATGCAATGCTTTCTACCCCAGCTGTTGTCCTTGAAAACAGAATTAGATAATTAAAACTTTGTGGTTTGGTGCTGGCTTTATAGTGTTTAGTGTGCACTTTGGTCTGGTCATAAGTTTTATCCTGGTACGACCTTCCAGCAGCCTTAGGTCCTCAGACAGATTCTGGACAAGCAATCAAAAGGAAATCAAGCCTTTTTGGTTCAGCCTCAATGGCTTTGGAATGAGCTGCCAGGAGATATTATCTATTGACCTTTATTTAATGCGAGTCCCATTTGAGATACAGAATATCTTTTCCCTGGTCCCAGACAAAAAGAGCCTAATAGATAAGATAAGGAAACTTTTATTTGTCCAACAGTGTGGACCTTACAGGACGAATATTCATCCCAAAACAAGATAAATAAGATCAGAAAGCTAAAGAACTGTTATTTTAGTGGTAGGGGAAACAGGAGCACGGGGAGGAAATGTGAGGAGACATGGAAAGGTTGTACAAACTCCACTCAAAAAGGCCCCACTGGGGGAGGCGAGGTCCTCCTCACTGCTTATACCATCAGAATATCCACTATAAACTGTTTTTCAAAACAGCTCAATAAAATATATAGAATATTATTACAAGTTTGGAAAAACCTGATGCAATCTTATCTCTTAAATAATCAAAATAAATGATTGATATAGTTTAATAAAGATTCTGCATTGTTCTTCAAACTTATTCAAAGTCATATTTAATCACAGACTACATTTAAAAAACATGTAATGATGACATTTTACAACATGCTAAAGATATCCTTCTGTGGGACGGCTCGGCTAAAGTTGTGTGCTGTATGAGGGTGTGCTACACACTACTATTACACTAGAAGACCCTAAACAGTTCCACAACATGTGTGTGCGTTTCCACAAAGAGGAAATGTCAAGTTCTCATCATTGCTTCATGAAACCGGAGCCTGGCTCAGTAACGTGTTAATGGAACTACACAGGACTGGAGGCGGCGACCCCCTGACTACTTGCAGAGCAAATAGACAGCGTCAAGGACATTGCAGGACATAGCTCTGTGAAAGCAAATGAATAGTGTAGATCATTATAACATTATCACTTTGCAACTCACCAGCTTTCCTTGAAAATGGGTTGATCCCTGATGTGGTGGACTGCTGCTGGAACATGGCAGGAGGAGGCGGTGGACTGACTTCAGGGGTGGAAAACTAATGGGGGAAAAAAGTTGAATTTTGAGAAGGTATTGTGTCATGTGCAGTAAGATAATTTGAAGAGACTGCTTTTGTGGGGAGATGGTGAAATACATATCAGGGTCATATCTCTGAAAAAAGCGTTGCTTTAATTAGAAAAAAAAAATCGTAAGGTTGCATGAGCCGTTTTGTGCACTTTCAACTTCAGCTCTTTTTAAAGTAATACAAAAAATGAAATGAAATTTGACAGAATACAAAACTATAACTTTGAAGTAACTGATTTACTTAAAGATGCTACACCCAATTTTTTTTTTAAATGAGTTCATAAAAATGCTTATTACTACATATAAATTGTATTATAATTCGTAATTTAATTGAAAACTTGAGCTCATTGATTCAGCTTGTGTATGAATTCAGGCCGTAAAAAGTGCTGAGTAGAGACTTGGTGTGACGCCCGCTCTCCTCCACTCACAGAACGAGGCTGCGTCCTCTAGCCTCTACAGCGCTGCTAAACACAGTAGCATGTTAGCAGAATTGGCTATAACTCCTCTTGTTGTAACTGTACACACAGCAAAACAGACCAAACAACACAACAGTGAGGAAGAGAAGAGGGAACTAAAGCGCCTCAAACTATCTATGCTAGGACCACATTCGGATGCAAAACAAGCGGTAATCTTTCAATTAACCTGGCGCACACCGGGGTAGTCTTGCACAGTTTTCCAATGTGGGTTTACTGCAAATGGCAAATAAATGAATCTGAATCTGAATTATATTTTGTTAGCAGTGCGTTGCTTTTGTACCATTTCATCAGTGATTGTTGTACAGCTTACAAGAGGTTGCGCTCACGCTAATGTTTGCATATAGGTTGCAAATAAAACTAGATGGCTCCGTGGGATGAGAGCGTAGGGGAAATGAGAAGCCTGTGAGCGAGTTGGGGGCGGTGCTAAACATTCAAACATTGCAGAAACGGGTATAGCGCCTTTAATATTTTTGTGTCCTTTCAAAGCAAAACAATAATACAATAATAATCAAACCAGCGCCTAAAAGCTGGACACCGCAAACCAAAGAGCCTTTTCAGGATGCAACAACTACCGCCTGTGAATTTCTTCACACGCTCACATCCACCTTGCCCTATTACCACCAGTGTCTAGGTCCCAGGGGATCATGATTTGCAATCAAGCACAGATCCTCACAGAGTAAGGCCACAGCCGAGACCAATGCGTCAAACTAATAAACTACAAACCAAACTCTCAATCAATACAGCTTTTAACATTTCACACACATCTATGACCTGTCTTTGGCCAAAGTATTCCCAATTTTCAAAGCAGCATTTTTTTCACCAATTACAGACCTGTCTCTGAAAAAATATTTGGCAAGAGACATTGTGGTTTCATTGAAAAGCATGATTTACTCTCTGATACTCAACACGGGTTCAGGCAGGCAAAATAGATCAACCTCCCTTGCTCTGATTGATTTAGTGGAGGAAATAACTAATGGCATCAAAAAAAAATTAAATTGTTTAAGAATTTTCACTGATTTACAAAAGCTTTAGCTACCATCATATTTCAATTAACAAATTGAAAAATGTATTAAGGGATTGGCAAAAAAATGGCTGGAGAGCTATTTGATTCAAAATCAGATTCAAATTGACCAACATAAACCTGTTTGTATGGACATCATCTGTGGAGTACCATAAGGGTCAATATTGGGACCAACATTATTTATAATGTATATTATTGAATGATGTAAAATATCAAAATTGATTAAATGTATTGTCTTTGCAGACAACACAAATATTTTATGTTCAAGTGACGACCAGGAGCCACTGTTGTCCTCTGTAACTGGAAATAATTTTTATAAACCAAGTTTTAAAGGTTTTTAACTGTCACTCAAACTTTAAAATATGGTAAGTAATATACCGGTCAGGTTAATTATTGATGATGTCACCAAAAAAGGCCATTAGGACTGTATCTAATGTCCAACACAGACTTAATTCTATAAACAATGGATTAGAATCATAAGAACTTAAGCTTCTGGTCTTGATGAACTTTAATACTGCTCAGATAATGTTCAGGACCTCTGAAAACTCTCTGCCACGTCATGTGCAAAACCTGTTTCATGACATAGATGCTCACCACAGAGACAGATTAGGAGGAAGCTAAAATGTATACAGTACAGACCAAAAGTTTGGACACACTTTCTAATTCAATGAGTTTCCTTTCTTTTCATGACTATTGACTGTAGATTCACACCCACGGTTTCTTGACCAATAAGGATAGTGGTGGGTGCTGGGCCAGATGACCCGGCCTCCACAGTCACCGGACCTGAACCCAATCCAGATGGTTTTGGGGTGAGCTGGACCACAGAGGTGAAAGGGCCAACAAGTGCTAAGCATCTCTGGGAACTCCTTTAAGACTGTTGGAAGACCATTTCAGGTCAATACCTCTTGAAGCTCATCAAGAGAATACCAAGACTGTGCGAAGCAGTAATCGGAGCAAAAGGAGCTACTTTGAAGAACCTAGAATATAAAACATTTTCAGTTGTTTCATACTTTTATTTAGTATTTTATTTTCAGAATCATGAAAATAAAATCTCTTTGAATAAGTAGGTGTGTCCAAACTTTTTGTCTGCACTGTATAATACTAAATGTAGAACTACTTTAAAATCAATATGTGTTTCTTTGTGTGAGGAGTGATTCTGTGGAACAACTTGACAGATGAATTAAAAACATGTTAAAATCTGTTACAGTTTAAAAAGCTGTTCAAGAAAGAAGTACTGAAGAAGTATGTGGAGGAGTGAGGACTTCAGCACAGAGAAAGAAGTGGGAGGGAGGTGTGTGGTCAGAGAGCGTTTGGGCCTGTGCTTGGGCCTAAGCGTTTGCTTTGTCCAGCCTTTTTTGTTTTATTGTTTATTTTGTGTCTTGTTTTTATTTTGTATCTTGTTTACTGTTTATATTCTTTTCTTTTGCATAATTCTTTTGCATAATGTTTGAAACTAATTCTTACTATTCTATACAACACCAAACAAAATGGCATACTTTCATACTTGCATGTTTTGAAAAGGGGTTAGATGAAGCAGACATTTATGAACTTTCAACCCCCACTAAGTCATTCAAAACATACACATCATTTTGGTGGATGTCTATGGGAACAGTCAACTGGCAACAGTATCAAAAACATTATGAATTTTGGTAAGATTGGACACCGACCCCAGTGGAGTGCCACAAGGGTTCGGTCGGTTTATATCCAGTAACATCATGTTCTATCAAAACTATACAGATGATACCCAGATCTACAGTGCCTCGTGAAAGTATTCGGCCCCCTTGAACCTTTCAACATTTCGCCACATTTCAGGCTTCAAACATAAAGATATAAAATTTTAATTTTTTGTCAAGAATCAACAACAAGTGGGACACAATCGTGAAGTGGAACAAAATGTATTGGATTATAAACTTTAACAAATTAAAAACTGAAAAGTGGGGCGTGCAATATTATTTGGCCCCTTTACTTTCAGTGCAGCAAACTCAGTCCAGAAGTTCAGTGAGGATCTTTGAATGATCCAATGTTGTCCTAAATGACTGATGATGATAAATAGAATGCACCTGTGTATAATCAAGTCTCCGTATAAATGCACCTGCTCTTTGATAGTCTCAGGGTTCTGTTTAAAGCGCAGAGAGACCCATAAAGACAAAGGAACACACCAGGCAGGTCCGAGATACTGTTGTGGAGAAGTTTAAAGCCGGATTTGGATACATAAAGATTTCCCAAGCTTTAAAACATCTCAAGGAGCACTGTGCAAGCAATTATATTGAAATGGAAGGAGTATCAGACCACTGCAAATCTACCAAGACCCGGCCGTCCCTCCAAACTTTCATCTCAAACAAGGAGAAGACTGATCAGAGATGCAGCCAAGAGGCCCATGATCACTCTGGATGAACTGCAGATAACTACAGCTGAGGTGGGAGAGTCTGTCCATAGGACAACAATCAGTCGTGCACTGCACAAATCTGGCCTTTATGGAAGAGTGGCAAGAAGAAAGCCATTTCTCAAAGATATCCATAAAAAGTCTCGTTTAAAGTTTGCCACAAGCCACCTGGGAGACACACCAAACATGTGGAAGAAAGTGCTCTGCTCAGATGAAACCAAAATCGAACTTTTTGGCCACAATGCAAAACGATATGTTTGGCGTAAAAGCAACACAGCTCATCACCCTGAACACACCATCCCCACTGTCAAACATGGTGGTGGCAGCATCATGGTTTGGGCCTGCTTTTCTTCAGCAGGGACAGGGAAGATGGCTAAAATTGATGGGAAGATGGATGGAGCCAAATACAGGGCCATTCTGGAAGAAAACCTGTTGGAGTCTGCAAAAGACCTGAGACTGGGACTGAGATTTATCTTCCAACAGGACAATGATCCAAAACATAAAGCCAAATCTACAATGGAATGGTTCACAAATAGACGTGTCCAGGTGTTAGAATGGCCAAGTCAAAGTCCAGACCTGAATCCAATCGAGAATCTGTGGAAAGAGCTGAAGACTGCTGTTCACAAACGCTCTCCATCCAACCTCACTGAGCTCGAGCTGTTTTGCAAGGAAGAATGGACAAGAATTCCAGTCTCTCGATGTGCAAAACTGATAGAAACATACCCCAAGCGACTTGCAGCTGTAATTGCAGCAAAAGGGGGCGCTACAAAGTATTAGCGCAAGGGGGCCGAATAATATTGCACGCCCCACTTTTCAGTTTTTTATTTGTTCAAAAAGTTTAAATTATCCAATAAATTTCGTTCCACTTCACGATTGTGTCCCACTTGTTGATTCTTGACAAAAAAAATATTTTTTATATCTTATGTATGTCTTGCTGAGTGTATGCATCCAACAGATCATGAGATCAGTGGATGCAAAACAAGTTTCTATAGCTAAACTCAAACAAAACTCTTTGGTCCACAAAAAAGAGCACTATCAGTGTGCATTTACAAAGAATCAGAATAGACATAAGATTGCAATAACTTCAGTATGAAATTAGACTTCGGTCAAAATCACTTGAACTATCTTTGGTTAAGCAAGCTATTCAGCTTCAACATGGAGAGTTTTGAATGTGGACCTCAAAACCTCATGTAAACATGCATGAATCACTCCCATTATTTACAGTACACATTTCTTGGTATTGTGTACATGCTTGTAAATAAGGGGAGAAACTGTGTCTACATGTAATGTCCTCTTTGGAACATATACTTACTGTCTGAGGTGGAATGGTTTGTTCTGAAGTATCATGTTGGTCGTCTTGAGGTTTAGACTTAAACCAGCCACTGAACCATCTTCCCGTCTGTACATTCTGTTCACAGATACATTCAATAAGTTTGCGCTTGACATAATTGTAGGATGTATCTGTATTGTGTGGTGCACGTTTAATATTGTGGGCTTATCCAAAGTCATTGTGGCTCATTTCTTCAAAACCACTTTACTTGCCTGTTTAGGAGGACTTCTATGCTCAGAGGTTTCATAGTTTATTGCTGGGCTTTGCTTTGTTTCAGAAAATGTTTTAAGTCCTGGGACCATCAATGGACTGGTTACCTATGAAGACACAAAATAGGGCTATTGGCTTGATTAAATGGCAAATTCTACTTAATCAAAAAGTTACGTTTTAGAAATGGAGCCTGCGGAAATTCAGCCAGGTGGGCGAGCTGCTGCAGCCCACTGAATCCACGCCCTGTCACCCTCAGCTGATCACACGGCGCTGCCAACTTCCCTGCCAACCTATGCCCATCAAGATCCATGTGCCCATCCAGCTGGCACTATCAAAGCTGAAACTTCCCAAGATCTAACGCTTATCCAAGCCTCGCAAAGTCTTTGTTCTGGCTGTCCCTTCTCTGGAAGACTGGCTGCAGCTCGTCTCCGCTGTGGTCTGCAGCAGCATGCGGGCAGCCAGCCGGAGAGAGCCTGGACTCAGCCCGGGACTGGTTCTGCACGACTCCCCGCCTGTTTCCGTGTTTCCCTGCAGATATCTACCCCTCTCCCTACCTCCCCTCGCCGGGTCAGCGTCATTCCCATTTACATCCCCAGTACTGGACTGAAGGCTGGAAGTTTGATTCCCTCGGACTGGACTGCAGGTTGAGGTTTATATCCCTAGTACTCGACAGCAGGTTAGTGACACGGAAATGGACCGGTACCTTCTGCTGAGGACTCGCCGCCTGCTCCTCGCCTCCCACGTATTTTTCGTTGTCCTTTGAGTTTTGTTTGTTTTTGGTTTATTTTAATTGAAACAAAACACGGACCAGGGAAATGAATCACGGTTCTACATTAGAGGACGCTTCTTGCCGATTCCACGGACCATAGCGTATTCTGCTCGGGACCAGGTCGTCTAATAACGCGGTCTGTGCTATTTCTAGTGATGGCAATATGAAGCCCCATGAAGCATTGAGGGATTGCAGCCTTTTACTCGAAAGCTCGATCCATGCTCCACTACGCCACCATGTGGACAAAAATATATAACACTCTTAAGTGTATACAATAAATGGTGGGGTCTAATATTACAATTAATATTTACATTCTGTGGTCTAAACATGTAGTGTTTGAGGCTTTCAGACAATTGTATTGATACAACAAACATGCAGTACAGTTGCAGCTTTACAAAGAAGTGTTTAATTGAGGAAAAACTGCCATTAGGGGGACAAATAACTCCGATAGATTACTCGGTACACGCTTTGAAGACATCTCTAGCTATTTCAGCTCCATGTCTGCTCTTTGTCGCCACACGCACTCAAAAGGGATCTGCGCAGGTAATGTCGTCATTCTGGTCCTCACATTCCGGACACGCTCGCTCGTGTCCTGACCTCTCTGTCTGTAGGCCCAGTTGGCTCCGGGGTCCAGTAGGCTCCGGTTTCTGACTCCCGAAAACATTTAAAGTATGAGCGCCGGTTCAGAGCCCTACTCGGGTCTGTGCGATTGCTACCCAGCTGTTAATGCCCTCGTTTCACCGGCTATCAGAGCGCAGCCCTCCCAACAATCTTCCTTAAATGTCGCTTCCAGCGTTCATCGTAAACAATATAATAAACAAAGCCTCCATGCAGCTCAATCACGTGCCCAGGTTTATTGATGCATTTCATGGTCACTTTCTGGTCTCCCCTTCCCCAAATACAGTTTGGTGAACATCAGCACACTAACCATTAGCAATTCATTATTCCTTCCTCCCTAATGGCTGCTCCATCGTCATCTCCGGACAGTATCACTGCTGTCACTGCAGCTGCGTCTGCTGCCACGCCAGTGGAGCGCCACCATAAATCTGTTCCCAATTACTCCAATCTTTACCCTTATTCTTTCTTCTAGCAGCAAACCATGCAAACATTTTGCAGGTTCACATACATCGTTGGGGGGATTCAAACCTATGCTGGGAGGCCCCGGTGGCTTTTGATTCTGCTCTCCAGGAGGGGATTCTGAGAGGCAGTCAATTCTCACTTCGGAACACCAAGCCAAAGTTGGATCCGTGGACCCACAGGTTACAATAAAAATGCATACATAATTAACATAGTTGTGAGATAATATTTGTATCTCACTGTTTTTTCAGATTTCAGCCCTATTACATAAACGAACAAAATCCTATGTAATACACCAACCAGAAAAGCAATGCACATATAAATTATTGGAATTGGACGATGGTTTATATTATAAAGAAGACGTCTTACAGAGCTTGTTCCAGAAAGCCGCACCCCTTCTGTAATAACAAAGGGCATACAGACACAATTGTGAGGAGTTATTGCTTCTTTAGTTGTAGGTAAATGAACACTGACCTGACAAACTGGTGACTGCAGAATATGTCACAGTGTCTGTGCTAAAACAGGTGACGTCTGGGTTTGGCACCGGTGGAGCACTGGTCACAGGAGCCGTGACCGGGAGAGGGTTCTGTGGCCTAGAGAGAGGTGCAAGGATTAAATTACACCACATAGGGAAGTCTGACGGTCTCTGTTTAGACTGCTGCCCTCCTGACCCAGAAACAGATAAAGTGGAAAAAAGATGGATGGATGAAATGTAATAATGCAATATTTTGTATTTGTTTGTGTTTTAATGTATGCCTGTGACTACATAGAGTTTGTTATGTTTAAAAAATATTTACAGTACTGTTGAGTTTTACAGCATGGAAGTTAGATCAGTAAAATAAAGATATTATCAATTCATTAGGCAAGACGTTATATTTTAAACATAAAAAAACCTCCAATCTTTGAATAATATTTTGAAATGTCTAGTTTTCAGAATATAGAAGTCACAGAATCTGTAAAATTGCTCAAAATGTGAATCAATACCACCTCAAGTCCAAAACAAGTTCCCCCAATATAGGACAGTGAAATATCCCTAGCCTTACCTAAGCTATAGCCCTAGCAGCCAATACAGTGTATAATGTTATTCTTCTTACCATTCATAGACTCCAATGGCGTTTGTTGAAGAAGCATCTTGGGTTAAAACGTCACTTCCAGAGGGTTCTTCTGTGTCTCTGTAGTAAAACAGCTCAGGCTCCGGACTCTGCACTGGGCTGATATCCCCTGTATCAACAGAAAAATCATATGATCAATAAAATCTTTTGTTTTATTGTCACTATCTAACTATGATAATGATGATAATTGACCAAAATAATTGATTTGATTCAAGCCAAAAAATCTGTTTTGAAGAGTCTATAATAACTCATAGTACATTTCACATTATATCCTGATATAGTCTTTAAATCAATGAGTTTTGTCAATTATATAACTAAGACTTGCCTGTTCGTTCTGGATGTTCCTGTCTGATTTCACCAAAGCTGTAACTATCTGTCTAAGAAAGAAAACAAAGAAGCCAGAGGTGCCGTGGGGAGACATATGAATGATAAACTATCCATCCTGACTGAAAGACAGTTTTTACCTGGACGCTGTGATGCCGTAAGCGCAGCTGTGTCATCCATCCTGGCTCCAGATCGGCTCCACTCAGTCCTGTCTCACTCACCTCTGCATATCTGAGCCTGTCAGCCAGCTGAAAACAACAAACATGCTTTTGAATAGATATGAATAATATTATGTAGCTCTCACATAGTCTAGGGGTGAATATTGGGATGATATTGACCATTCCGAATGTGCCCATTTGATTTATTACAGTTTCTTGCCAATGCAGGACAGCTTTGATGATCCAGGACACTTGAAATATATCAACATTTATGGACTTCTTTCATGTGCCCCTTAGACCAATATGCTCTATGTGTGTTTTTATCATTGCACTTGTTGTGTTTGAACCATTTGATTCTCTAATCCAGTGTTCCCCAACCTTTTTGAGCCGTGGCACACCTTATTAATTGAAAACTATCACACGACACACCACCAGCTGAAACTGATACAAAAAATAAACTCTGCAGCCTTTATTAGTATTTCAAAGTCATTCACATCAACGTGTAATATATATATAGAAAATCAAACAAGCACAAAAATCTATTTGATCTTCTTGCATTATTTTCTGTTTGCATTATTTTGACCAATAAGATAATATTGGATCATTTCCAAAGGCACACCATCGTGCCGCGGCACACTGGTTGAAAAACACTGTTCGACTCTGTGTTGGCGATTTCAACAGTTTTGTAAAGTCTTCCAAGATTACTATTGTTATTGTTGTTAATTGTTAATCAAACACAAATACACTGTAAGCATTGATACAAATCTAATATGAATATGCCTTTAAAATTGGTCTAGTGATAATGTACTCATAATTTAACCTATTTATTTTAATTTTTCTGATATTTCTTCTATTGTACCTTTAGAAGTACATCAGTGAGCACAGGGCTGGGTGAGCTCTGGTGGAGGATGGCCTGTCCCACCACCTCACAGTAGTGAAAGGCCTGAGAGCAGAGTCCACAGTCCAGGAGCCGAGTAGCGTAGAGGAACTTGTAGACCTGTGAATAATATGACTGTTTATTCTGAATGTACATGGGGAAATAGGATAGTAAGAAGCAAAGAAAGAACCTTAAAGCTTGGGTTCTTTTAAAAATACAATAAACAAAACTAAAGAAACAGACAGAGAAGTGAGCCCAGTCTCAAATAGTGCCTCGCAGGGCTCACAAAAACTTACAAAACAAAAGTTAGTTACCCCAGCTTTAACCTTCATTTATCAAGATCATTTTTCATTCAAACAACATCAATATTTTTTTGCTGATCCAGGGTAGCTTTCTCTATTCTGTACTCTTGCGCCAAGTACAATTATAAACTTTAAAATGAAAAGCAGTTGGCAAGATTTTAATGCAATATTGAAAAAATAAAATAAAAAGGGTTACTGTGTTGTATGTGTAATAAGTAATTGAATAGATTATTTATAAAAACATATCTGTTTTGAAGATGGATTCCTCAAACTACAATCTTCAACGTGCTCTGTATGGCACTAAAACAGATCTGACTATACAAAATAACTACTTTGTAATGGGAACATTTTAAGCGTTGCAAAAAAACTATTCCGTTGTACCTGAAAAGATGGTATGAAGAAGTTCCTCCCTCCCAGACTGCGGCAGTACTCGTACAGCTCTGTGCACTGGATGGCAGAGTTTACAGCAAAGTCTTTAAATGACTGTCTATAAAATCAGAAATGAAAGGTACATCAAAGGGAGTCTGCAGTTGGAAATTAGCCTAAGGCTATAATCTGGCATGTTTACATTTGTGAAAATGATCATTAAGACGTATTGTTCCTCCTTCCTCAAATAAATAAATACAATCTTCAAATCAACTACAAACAATAAAGCATGCAATAAAGTGAAATAAAATTGGGTCCCGGTTACCTGTGACTACTGCCCAAAAGCACCAGCCTCTCGTCTTTCTGTGTGAAGGCTCCAAAGGGCAGTCCGGTAGTCAGGTAGCACACATGAGCCGAGTGCAAGAGTCCTCGAGAGGCTGCAAAGGAAAAGGAAAATCAATAAAGTCTATAGTAAAATGACGTCCTCCTTATGTCCTTGTAGGATAAACTTTAGGCAAGGCAAGTGTATTTGTATAGCCCGGTTCACACTCAGGGCAACTCAAAACGAGATAGAAACAAACATACAATAATCATAGTGAAGAAGATGACATAGTCTGGGATCGCGTCTTAAATTCAGACAGAAGACATGTTTTATTGTCGATGGTAGAGACAGCACGAACAAAGCACACGAACACAGATACAATAGAATGCAAGTGTATTATACAGAGCGGAGGCATGGAGACCTCCAATCAGCAGCTTCCACGGTGTGCTTGTAGCTTGGCTTCAGATAGACAAAACAAGGGAAAAGTACTGGCTTCTGCACATTGATAGAATGATGAGTTTAACTTTAACAAAAGTTGCTTCAAAGTGTTATGAAATCTCATAATAGTGCATAAAGAATAATGAAAATACAATCCTTCAGTTGTATTTACAGCTAAACAAGACTGTTTTTAACCTGGATTTGAACATTGTCAGAGAAGAAACTTGAACCACATAATAGGAAAACGTTTCCAGATTTAAGTTGTATAAATCTGAAATGCAGCCTCCCCATGTTGAGTCCTTTCTCAGAGTCCCAGCAGGAGGCCAGTCCCTGTGCTCCTCAGAGTTCGAGTTGGTTCATTTGGCACCAACATGTCTTGCATGTACTCTGGAGCGAGGCCATGGAGAGACTTGTACACAACCAGAGCTATTTTAAAGTCTACGCTCTGAGCCACAGGAAGCCAGAGCTAAGACCTGAAGACTGGATTAATGTGATCATACTTCCTGGTTCTAGTCAGGACTCGAGCTGCAACGTTTTGAATGTACTGCAGCTGTTTTACAGCCTGTTTGGACAGACCTGTGAGCCGGCCATTACAGTTGTGTAAACCACTAGAGACAAATGCATGGATAAGTATTTCCAAGCAGAAGATCAGTTCCTGGTCAATCCATCATAATAAAAAAGTTAAAACAAAGGCAGAACATAAAACTATATGAAAGCTTAACCGTAACAGATGCATTATTATAATAATAATTATTATTATTATTAAAATAATGTATCGGTTTTATACAGCGCTTTTTTGGACACTCAAAGACGCTTCACATGTCATTATTCTTTCACTCCCTACACGGTGGTGATAAACTACTACTGTAGCCACAGCTGCCCTGGGGCACACTGACAGAAACGAGGCAACCAGTATGTGCCATCGACCCCTCCGACCACCACCAACCATTCACACACACACCAGACTCATTCTAGGCAATGTGTGTGAAGTGTCTTGCCTAAGGACACAACAACAGTTTGGCACTTTACAGCCGCAGCTGCCCCACTGTGGCTGGTGTCTTGCCAAGGACACAACGTATGTATATTTTGTATACAGTACATGTCAGTGGTTTCAAAGCCACTGACAGTTTGGCAGAATTAGTTTAGTCTCCAAGGAAAGAAACACAAAACATGAATGGATGAAAGGTAAAATGGCTGAAACATCATGCAATAAGTAATATTTTGGACATCTGTATTTTGAGTGTGCAATGCGATCTTGTTTTTTGAAAGTGATATCTACTTACTTCACACAAAGTGTGAGGCAAGTCTTGAGTGTGGTCATGAGTGTGTTCTACACTGCAAGGGGAAGGAGGTGAAGAGGGTAAAGCAGGTGAAGGAGGTGAAGGAGAAAAAGAGGTGAAGGAGGACGAGGAGAGAAGGAGGACAAACCCAGAGTGTCTCCCATGGTGGCGATGGCTCGGCCTTTGACCGCAGAGTCAGAGGTGTCGTTGGACAGGATCACAGCCAGGTGAGGCCTCCAGTCGCCCCATTTCTCACTCCCACAGCACTGCACATACAACATAGGTATAAGGAATCCCTTATCAAGAGACATATTATACTAAATTAACAAGGTCACGATATTGTTCCTTTATTGTAGTTTTTGGCCTCCGTCAAATCTTTATATTAGCAAAATGACTAGTAACCAATACATCTGTCTTTAGTTTGATTAAGTTCACAAAACTTCAATCACTTTAATGTTTTTACCCTGCACAAACAACATGTGTCGTTTATGAAAATCAATAGTTATGTGTCCATGCTTTAAACACAGTCAGCCTTTCCAAAGTGCGTGATAAGTGTTTGATTACCGTGGATGCAGCAGGGACCCTCCCCGACAGCAGCTGGAAGAGCGTCTGCAGCGGGTCGTTGGCTGTGAGCTCTCCTGTGAACCTGCCAAAAGTGAACGGACCACATCTCTGTATCAAATAATGGCTGACCTAAACGTGTCAATCAACATCCTCACCCACTTTCCCCCTTTACACAGTAAAAGAAGACATGTGATACATGAACCAGATAACCTTACATTAGAGATGGCATGAATGACTCGGGCAAAAATAGACTGGAGAAATAACAGGGGAAATAGATGACTCACTTACATGATACAGCAAGATTAGTTGTATCAGCCATTAAAGGCTTAGGGCATCATTCTGGCCCATACACCTATTTTGGGCCACAGACCATAAAATGTGTTGTGTGTAAGTAATCTCTCCCTGCTGACGCTCTCAATAAAAAACATTTTGGATGTTCAGAGTATTTAATAACAGATAAATGTATTGGTTAACAAATACATTATACATGTATTTTTTAACACATAAATGCCTCAATACATTATTTGTAGATAATTATTTGTGTTTTTCAACCTTTACTGCACACAACAGTGAGAAGGTTTAGTTTGAGTAAAAACAACTGCATTATTTTGTGAAGGAGATTGTCTTGTATTCAAATTAAATCAAATCTAATCTAAATTCTCCCCTTTTTTCATGTCTCTCTAGACGTGTGACTACTGTAAGTTTCTTAAATGAGTCAAAACAACTCAAACCAGACATGGACAATATATATATATATTTTTTACAACAATTTGAAGTATGGGTCAATGTTTTAATTTGATAGAGGCTGAGCACAGCCTCTAGATCGGACCCTTTATTTCAGAGAAGGCTCCCTCTAATATGAGTTAAACTGTAACAAATAATAGCACTCCTAATAAACTAATGAAATAATAATCAATAATGACCTGGTGTTTTGTGTACGCATTACTGGTGCTATCAACATGATAACATGATGCACACTGTCTTACTTGCAAAATAAAAAGGATTTATAGGGAGTGCGACGATATGCCTTGATCCAGCAAATATGAAAGGAGCACCAGGAAGTCATCTTAAATAGGGGTGGCTGGCACCCAAGGGTGTACAGTCACCACACCCACAGAGCATTTCACAATAAATCACATGAGCCAATTGAATCCATCCTCACGTGCAATATCTCCACTTGGTTCAATTTCCTCACTCTCAAACACAGGACAAAATTCAGTAGTGTAGTAAAGCAGGCCAGCAAAATCACCCAAACACCACAAACTCTGGTCTGTGAGCTGTACAGCCAATCAGTGCTGAGGAAGGCCACTGTCTCACTGAGGACGCCACACACCCGCGGTATGGCTCCTTCTTTCTGCTGTCATCAGAAAGGAGACACAGAACCCTGCTGGCCCGAAAAAACATCTACAAGAGATCGATTGTCCCGTCTGCAGTCACTGCTCTGAACAACCGGTAGCACAATGACCATAACCACGACATCAGTGCTCTGAAATTCTGTGGCTTTGAGAAAGTCCCCCCTGCACCCAGAGGAGGAGACCAAGACCGGTTGCTCAAACAGAGAGACTCACTGGATCTACACACTTCAGACCCTGGCTCCAAAACGCCTGAATGACGAATTAAATTGAAGCATATTTCTATAAAAATGTTTTCAGGTATTTTCAGAAGGTTGTTGAAAGGTTTTCCTAAGATTGTTTTTGGACATTGTAGATATTTATTGACATGGTAATGTGTGCTTATTTTGTCAGTTTTTTTCTAGTATTTCATGCACTGTATTCTCTGTATTTTTGACTGCATTTTTGGAACGGTCTCCACCTTGGTTGATGTGATTTAATGTGAAATATTCTGTGGGTGGGGTGACTGTACACCCTTGGGTGCCTGCCCCACCCTGTTTTTTTTTTTAATAAATCCTTTTTATTTTGCAAGTAAGACGGTGTGCAGAAATCATTCTCTCTATTCAACAGTAGTTTATTCAGGCCTCTCCTCCAACGCACCCGATCTGAAGATATTGATGTGCAAATCCAAAGGCATAAGTGATTAGGAAAAATAGGATATCTAAGAAAAATTTCAGTCAAGCCAACACTTTCAACATTTATTTTCGAGTTGTACCCGGAATAAATAATATATGTAAAAATAAATAATACGTACAAACTGAGAAGGAGCCCTTGTAGGGGGTGTCCAGATATAGATATAGTGCTGCAGCTATATTCACTTACAAATTGGCATAAAACTAAGATGTGTTTGTGTTGGAGCTGTCTGCGATGAGGTAGAACATGTGCCATGGAAACTTACAGTATGTAAGTTCTAATTTAGTTTACATGCACTCTCCTTGAAAAAACAAACAAAGACAAAACAGCTGATGCAAGTGTCACCTCTGCTTGAATAATCACAGTTTATTTAATTGCTATAAGGGCCTCCTGAAAGAGTTGGGGAACATGGTATACATAGAGAAAAGATTCAGTATAGCTCTATTTTTGCATATGTGGTTATTTACTGTGGTCACTAATTGCAATGTATTTTTAAAGTTTGGAATACGTTTCCACACTGATGGATAAATAAACGAGATCGTATCTTGAATACATTTCTATAGTTGTTTTATTGAGAAAAAAGTGCCCATACATTTCCATCTTACTATTTATATTATTACAATTTTGTATATTACTAACTGAAGCTTTTTATTACCTTGGTCTGTGAAAATAAATATACATATAAAAAAATAATAAACTTTCTCATCTCATTCTCATGTTTGACACCCCTGGTCTAAGGGGTACAAGGTGAGGTTCAGAGAGTCAAGTTGGACACGTTCGTATTTATTTTGGGAAGATCTTGTGAGGACACTTCAAACCAATCTCAGGTTTGTGCAACATATGTCACATTTTTGGAATGTGTCCCACAAAGTTTATAGTTACTTAAAATTAGACACCTCTAGTCTGCTTTCTAATGCAAGAACATACCAGGGCCTCAAAACTGCAGAAAGAAAAGTACTTGTATGACCACAAATCATAAGATCTAAATTTAGAAATTTCAGCAAAAATAACGGCTTGTAATCACGTCTATAATGACTTTTCTCAGCTGTCTCACCTGTTCAGAACTGTGGTGTAAGACCTGTTGTCCATTTTGCTGGCCAGAAACAGAGCGTGTCCCCAAAGGCTGTTGTTCATTGCAGATTCCAACGCATCCTGGAAAACACATTCAAGGCATTTTAACTGTATTTCACTAAGGTTACTACTAAAGTCTAGTATTTACAATATAGTTACTTTCTGAAAATCACAGGAAAAGATTTTTCACATTATAAATAAAAAAAGAAAAGAAAACGTTGCGCACTTTGACTTGCTTTACAAAAGTTTTATCAATTGTCAATTTATTAAGGTTTCAAATATTTAGATTGTATCGTTTTGAAGTTTGTAAATTTGGTAAATAAACTATGGAAGCCTATGGAAGCCCGTTTCCGCCATGTAAAAAAAAATGCCTACAGAAAGTCGAAATTTTGAGTTTAAAAGTCAAAATTATGAGTTTTAAACTCGTAATTATGAGTTTTAAACTGCGCATGTGCAGTTGCTGCCCCGTACGTGTTGTTGTCTGTAACGGTGTCTGGACATCCTTTACCTGCAGGTTATGTTGAATATATTGCCTACAGTGACCACTGCATCCATGAAGTAGCAGCAATAATGTTGGGGCAATAATCGCGTTAAAATGCGAACGTCTCTCCGTTTATGATTAGAATCTGCTCAAGGCGCCTCTATTTAATTTATCCTGAATGGACTGTGGAAGATTAATAATAAACACATGCGGCTGAACGCTGAAGTGGTCTCATTCATTGAGCATCAACTGGTGGCTATCGATGGATGCACCAGAAATGCACTGAATATTATTGTGACTGACTGAGGGAGGTCCGCAGACAGAGGCAGGAGAACCACAGTTGCGGCCCGTGACAATATTAAACCTTTTGGAATTGCGATCAGTGCATTTGAAGAAGATGACATTGTCTGGGATCGTGTCTTAAATTCAGACAGAAGACATGTTTTATTGTCGATGGTAGAGACAGCACAAACAACAGAATGCAAGTGTATTATACAGAGCGGAGGCATGGAGACCTCCAATCAGCAGCTTCCACGTGCCATGTAGCTTGGCCTTCAGATTGACAAAACAAGGGAAAAGTACTGGCTTCTGCACATTGATGATGAGTTTAACTTTAACAAAAGTTGCTTCAAAGTGTTATGAAATCCAGTGAAATCCAGTCATTGAACACGCTCATTTTTTCGTGAACGTTGAACTGAACTGAACATATTTTTAAAAAAAGAACTTGAACGTGAATTAGTTCATTTTATGTGTCATGAACGGCAGACATCACTATGAACGTTGGAATCTGTTTTCTCTTTTGAAACGCAACGAGAGAAAGTTCCACCGTCTGTGAATTAATAGTTACCTATGTAACTTAAGTTCTACGAATAGGTGCGTAGTCCCTTAGGACTTCGCTAGTGGGATATCACTCGTGACCCCCAGGTAGACCAGGGACGTGCGGTGAGGTTTGTGATTGGGGAGGCACTGACTTTAAAAGTCAGATTTACAATCATTATTCAAATAAAATAGCATTTAATCACCAATGCAATGACATCCACAAACTTTATATACTGTAAAGATAAGAGAACCAGCTTCTTTTAATAATCTCACAACAAATCTAGCTGCTGACTCTGCTCCGCATCAAACAACATCTTTAAGAAGCGCAGGTGCGAGAGACGCGAGGAGAGAGAGACGCGAGGAGAGAGGAGCAGAGAGAGACAGAGAGGAGCAGAGAGACGGAGACGCGAGGAGCAGAGAGAGACGGAGACGCGAGGAGAGAGAGACGCGAGGAGAGAGGAGCAGAGAGAGACAGGAGCAGAGAGACGGAGACGCGAGGAGCAGAGAGAGACGGAGACGCGAGGAGAGAGAGACGCGAGGAGAGAGACGCGAGGAACATAAACAATAATTTAAACAAGTTGCAGAACTCTTGAGCAGTGTTTGAATCAGTGTTTTTCGGAAAAGCACTACTTTGCCGGTATCTGTCAATGTTCAACATAAAACACAGATTAACAAACTCCTCCCCCGCAGCCGGACTAACCTCGTAAGTCCAGTGGTGGTCTCCCAGTCTATATTAATTCTTTCTTTGTTTGAAAGTCCAATTGAGAAAAAAAATCTTCATTCAAATCATCCATTTTCCAGCAAAAGAAATAGCATTTTGGGCTGATTGTTTGTTAGCAACTCTGGTATGAACTTTATGCTCACTATCACCCCTAGCGGTGAGGCACAGATACCGCCTGCCTCACGCCAAGCTTTTTCCTTGTGTGTTCATCTACGATCAAAAGACTTAAACTAAATATAAATTGTACACACATACGTGCAATACACTACTAAACACTAAGAGGAGTTTAAAAAATGTTTTTAAAGCAGGATATTTGAAACAAACGGTGATATATCAACTGCACGAGCTGAGTGCACTCAGACACACACACACACACTGTGAGGGAGCGGTCTGGGGTGAGGCACGCAGGAGCGCTGCCTCACCTCGTCTCTTTGAATAGGAATAACGGGATTTCGGCGATTTTGACTTCAGAAATGATCAAAACTGATGGGAACCGTGCCGAATATACATTAAAAGCATAGGACAGTGGATATAAATTATATATTTAAACTAAAATAATTATTAGTTTCCAATAATGGCAGGTGAGGCTCTGCCTCCCCTGCCTCCCCTGACTGCACGTCCCTGAGGTAGACCATTGGCGTAACATCTATCCAGCATAGCCAACGACATCCTGTCCCGCTCGGAGGGAAGGAGAAGTCTGGTGCCGGGCCACACGGATGCGGAGGGCTGCAGGGCCATGCGGACTGAATCCTCGATGTCCGGGACCTCGCCGGTCCAGGACCAGTCCTGTACGCTGCAATACATGCCGTACCCCAGAGCAGGCCTCTTGGCTGCTAGGGGCTTTGGCCACTCACGTGTCGCGTAATGGACGATTGGGTCCATCCGCGGGCACAACGTGGGTTGTATCCTCCTCCTCCCTCGAGTGGTGGCGCGTCCAGAGGTGAAGTCCTCCGCCCTCTGGATCGGCTGCGGCGGCAGAAGAGCATCCATGATGGCCGCCGCGGAGGAGTAGAGCCCAGGCATGTGGTCCAGTGGGAAGCGGTCCGGCTCCGGGTTCGAGACCACCTCGTCCAGGGTGAGGAGGGAGCCGATCTCCGAAGCCTCTCCATCCTCGCAGTCACCCCACTCCGCGGGCACAGGTGGAAGGTCGAGTGGGGCCCAGTCAGTCTCAGACTCCTCGTCCTGAAAGGAGTCCGGACGGGGCGCTGCAGCGGCGAGGAACGCACGCCTGCGTTCGCTCTCCTCCCTGGGGAGAGCGAGACACGAGGCGCAGCTGGCGCTCAACGCCGCAAGGCCCGGGCCCAGGCACATGAAGCAGCTGGAGTGCTGGTTTGTGCGCTGGAGCCTGACTCGACACGCCGAGCAACGACGACGTCCGACGCCGGAGGGCGAAGGGGGAACTCGGACGAACAGCAGAAGACATCTCTCAGAATGAAGTACGTACTGTGGTAGATCTCAATCGGCGCCAGAGTGAAAGAGGGGGTGCGGCCTTGTGCAGGGGCCTTTATAGAGGAGGGTCGCTGGTGATTGGAGCAAATTATTTTGATTTCTCTGGCGTGTGACCTGGGGGTCACGAGTGATATCCCACTAGCGAAGTCCTAAGGGACGTAGCACCGTGACGTAGAACGCACCCCGACTCAGTGTTGCGGTGCGGCGCTGTGAGCTGGTGCTTTTCACATGTGCTCGAGTCGTGATGAAAACACAGGGTGAGTTAGCGACAAAGTTTACACCGTTTACATTTGACATAAAGTATAGACACACGCACTGCAGCGCATTACTGTTTGTAGTTTATGAGCAGAGATGGAACAACTCCGTTTTGCTCCCATTGAAAACCATGTAAATCTAGTCTGTTTTGTAGTCAAAAGGCTCTCCTCCTGTGGGTGTACAGGATATATATATATATATATATATATATATATATATATATATAGCTCGTAGTGTGAAAAACATATGTATTTAAGTATCTCACGAAAAAAGTAAAATGAACTGAACTTTGAACTAGTTCAGAATTAAAAATGTGAACTTTGAATGTGAACTGTTCACTTTGAGCCTGTATGAACTGAACTTGAACTAGTTCAGAAAAGCTGTGAACTGGCACAACACTGATGAAATCTCACATTCCCCCCTCTGGTCACACATTCACGTGTGACCATCAGGATTGATAAACAGCAACATAACATCATAACTCAATACTTCAAAAACTCGGTACTTCACTCGGTACTCGGAATACTTCAAAAACTCATAAAACATGTTCAGATCTTTCATAAAACTTGTCAACAATCTTCAGTAAAATACCAAACTTCATCAGTCGATGGTGGTTCCAGATATTGCTTTGAAAACAGTCTCTCCCACTTCTCCGTGTTGGTTTCTTCAGGCTGCATTTGTGTCGAGCCATGAATTCTTCTGTGACGTGTCTTTCAATCACACGTTTCAGCTTTAGTGTCCAGATTTAGCAATTCAATTCAGTCCAAATTATGTCCAAATTCAGATATCCAATTGTTCCAAATCATGTCCATGCAAAAGAGGGCGATGGTATTGTCCATGTCTCAGCAGCTCACAGCAGGCCTGACTGGAATCAGGGGCTGTGCAGATTTTCCAAGTGTGCTGGTCCAGACGCATGGTTTCTCTTGAGGTTTCTCAGTTTTGGCTTGAAAAAAAAAAACACTTTTTGTGTAAAAAAAAAATTGTCTTCTGTTCACTAGATGTTACAGACAATGCCCGCATCTTTCCACCACCTGAAGAAGATGACAAAGTCTGGGATCGCGTCTTTAATTCAGACAGAAGACATGTTTTATTGTCAATGTTAGAGAGAGCACGAACAAAGCACACAAACACAGATACAACAGAATGCAAGTGTATTATACAGAGCGGAGGCATGGAGACCTCCAATCAGCAGCTTCCACGGTGCCATGTAGCTTGGCCTTCAGATAGACAAAACAAGGGAAAAGTACTGGCTTCTGCACATTGATAGAATGATGAGTTTAACTTTAACAAAAGTTGCTTCAAAGTGTTATGAAATCTCACACATTGACTCATCCAGAGCGCGCTCACGTTTCGGCCGCGTGCACGCCAGGGACGTGCGGTGAGGTTTGTGATTGGGGAGGCACTGACTTTAAAAGTCAGATTTACAATCATTATTCAAATAAAATAGCATTTAATCACCAATGCAATGACATCCACAAACTTTATATACTGTAAAGATAAGAGAACCAGCTTCTTTTAATAATCTCACAACAAATCTAGCTGCTGACTCTGCTCCGCATCAAACAACATCTTTAAGAAGCGCAGGTGCGAGAGACGCGAGGAGAGAGAGACGCGAGGAGAGAGGAGCAGAGAGAGACAGAGAGGAGCAGAGAGACGGAGACGCGAGGAGCAGAGAGAGACGGAGACGCGAGGAGAGAGAGACGGAGACGCGAGGAGAGAGGAGCAGAGAGACGGAGACGCGAGGAGAGAGGAGCAGAGAGAGACAGAGAGGAGCAGAGAGAGACGGAGACGCGAGGAGCAGAGAGAGACGGAGACGCGAGGAGAGAGAGACGGAGACGCGAGGAGAGAGGAGCAGAGAGAGACAGAGAGGAGCAGAGAGACGGAGACGCGAGGAGCAGAGAGAGACGGAGACGCGAGGAGAGAGAGACGCGAGGAGAGAGAGACGCGAGGAACATAAACAATAATTTAAACAAGTTGCAGAACTCTTGAGCAGTGTTTGAATCAGTGTTTTTCGGAAAAGCACTACTTTGCCGGTATCTGTCAATGTTCAACATAAAACACAGATTAACAAACTCCTCCCCCGCAGCCGGACTAACCTCGTAAGTCCAGTGGTGGTCTCCCAGTCTATATTAATTCTTTCTTTGTTTGAAAGTCCAATTGAGAAAAAAAATCTTCATTCAAATCATCCATTTTCCAGCAAAAGAAATAGCATTTTGGGCTGATTGTTTGTTAGCAACTCTGGTATGAACTTTATGCTCACTATCACCCCTAGCGGTGAGGCACAGATACCGCCTGCCTCACGCCAAGCTTTTTCCTTGTGTGTTCATCTACGATCAAAAGACTTAAACTAAATATAAATTGTACACACATACGTGCAATACACTACTAAACACTAAGAGGAGTTTAAAAAATGTTTTTAAAGCAGGATATTTGAAACAAACGGTGATATATCAACTGCACGAGCTGAGTGCACTCAGACACACACAGACACACTGTGAGGGAGCGGTCTGGGGTGAGGCACGCAGGAGCGCTGCCTCACCTCGTCTCTTTGAATAGGAATAACGGGATTTCGGCGATTTTTACTTCAGAAATGATCAAAACTGATGGGAACCGTGCCGAATATACATTAAAAGCATAGGACAGTGGATATAAATTATATATTTAAACTAAAATAATTATTAGTTTCCAATAATGGCAGGTGAGGCTCTGCCTCCCCTGCCTCCCCTGACTGCACGTCCCTGGTGCACGCACACACTCACGTCACGTCACATACTCCTCAATGCACTGATCACAAATCCAAAAGGTTTAATATTGTGCCACAACATTATTGCTGCTACTTCATGGATGCAGCGGTCATTGTCTGTAGGCAATATCTTCACAAAACCTGTTTAAATTAAAATTATTATGAGTTTCTGTAGGCTTTTTTTTTTTTACATGGCAGAAACGGGCTCCCATAATAAACATTACTTTACAATAACTTAAAAATAATGATAATGATAAGAATTATCAAGTATAAAAAGTATCGTAGTCAGTGTTCTCGAACGGAATCCATTTTTAGAATTTTACCCAACACTGGACGAGAGTAAAAAATCTCTAGCTTTAACATGTTTAAGTGAGAAAGTGTAAAATACTGTATTTTCTAGTTCAAGAAGTATATAGTGTACATGAGGGTCTGTGAACACATGTGGTTCTATATTGCACATTCTGACATTAGTAGAACTGTTTTTGCACAGATGAGTAGGGTAAAGTAACAGATGGTTTCATGATACTTTCATTCATTAATCTAATCAGGTCCGACTCTTTTGGGGGATCCTGAGGCGTTCCAAAGCCAGCTGGGGGAAAATATTCCCTCCAGCGACTCTTGGGTCTTCCCCAGCGACTGCTTTTGGCGGGGCATGCCTGGAACACCCTCACAGGGAGGTGTCCAGGAGGCATCCGAAACACATGCCTGTGCCACCTCAACTGGCTCAGGCATGTGGAGAAGCACAGAGCTCCTCCCGTGTAACTGAGCTCCTCAGCCTATTTCCAAGAGAGCACTCAGCCATTCATTTTGACCGCTCGTGTCTGCGATCTCCTTCCGGTCATCGCCCAAAGCTCATGAGTGAGGGTGGGGACCCTTGTTGTCACTTTGAACTGAGAGCTGAGAGTGAAAGTGATCCTCCTCTTTTCAGTTTTACTGATAGAACCAAACTATTTAAGAGCCATTATCTAGATACAAGGATGCATGGTTTCAAATTCTGTGGTTTGAAAGCATGGTATTCCAAATTGAATTTGTAAAGAATGGTTGGCCCAAACAAAAGTTATTGAGTGGTGAACCTTCTTCCTCCCGGCCAGCAGCATCAGTGTGTACGTCTTCAGAGCTCTCTGTGCAGTCTCGGAGCTGCAGTTTCCCGTCAGTAGGTCGTCCTCTGTCTCTGTGGGCGGAGCTTCAGCCGCCGCACCTTCACTGAAGTCTATGAGAGAGGAGTCCGACCGACCGCCCCCCGTCCCACGAGAGCCCTGCACCAGCAGCTCTGCCATGTCCGAACCGACCATTTGCTAGAAATAAGAGCATCAATCCCTTATCCATTGCTATAAAACAACGAAATGTATGTGTAGGACATCTCGTTATACTGGCAGCTTCTTCCCACAGGCTGTTACCATTTTAAATACAGAACTGTAATGATGAAGATTAGATAACACATTTTGTTGATTGCTTTCACAATGACAATTGAGTAATTTTTAGCTTGTTTTTTTCAACATATTTAAATGCTGCACACTGGGGGACGTTTGCACATGTATTCCAATGTGGTTTTACTGCAAATGGTGAATAAAACAAGAAAGAATCTGAATCTGTGTAAAGCATGGTAGGGATGAGCTATAGTGACAAAAATAAATACATTTCTCCGGTCATATGGAAACACTATTCAGATGATGTGGCCTTTGTTGAGTTGACTTCCCAACAGTCAAAAGTCACACATTTTAGGACAGAAAGAAGCAGCTACATCGTTCTTGAGAAGATTATAAAGTCTTCTTGAGAGACGAAATAGCGTTTTCTGTAAGTACTAGATACAAATACAAGGCAGACATCAAGCCGTTATTTCTCTTGATCTCTTTATTCCAGGGTGTCTTCAAACAATATTTGCCAATGAGACAAAGCAAAAATGTCTAATTTCAAGGACAGTATCACTTTTTGTTTTAATTCCAAGAGAGAATTTGCTTGCCTTGTACAAAGTACTGTTTAATAATGTTTTCCTTGCAGTCTGAATAAACTCAAGATTAATTTTCTATATTTCAAGCAATGTCTAACTGTTCATTGTTGATCAGTAGTTTTCAGGGAAGTATATACATCATTGACTATATGTATGTATGTACAGGGCAACAAATGTTACAGACAGAATACATTGAGACAAGAACGAAGGTATTCCACATTCTTACAATTTAGTCAAATACAAACAGCTATTGTACTGACTATTGCAATATAATCTAATTCTATCTCTATTGACTGAAACTCACTCCATTTTGCCTGCAGAAAAGTACCAGTAGATTCCAGAGGAGGGCAGCAGAGCTCTTGTCGTGGAGTTTATCATCTCTCAAGCACGTTCCTGCCATCTGCTGGGCAAACTCCATAGCATCCACTTTGTGCAAATCTTCCCTAAGAATTAAATATAAAAACAACACAATGAAACAGACAATAGTATTACTTTGTATGTACTGTATATTAATAATATTACCTTGTTAAGGGTCCAGGAAACTTTCTCAATTCTTGTTGTTCTTTTGTGTCACTCAAAATGGCCTGCGAAAGGAAAGTTATTCTGTCTGTCAATTACTATTTATTCTTGTCCATTGTGCTTGTACTTTTATGTGGGATGAATAAAGGATTCTCTATTTGATTATTGAAGACAGGAAATTATTTGTGGCGTGTTTTCTCCGTTGAATAATTAATGTATTTGTGTTGCTTGATACAAGATTGAAGCAAAAATGTGAAACAACACACATTTATGTAGGGCCCTGCTTGGTAATATAGTAAATAGTAGTAGTAGTAGTAAAGTATACGTAAGACACTGTACCTCCATGCTGTGAATTTCCAATTGTGTGACATTTTTCTGAGGCGTGAAACCTGGACAGACCCGAATGAGCTGTCCGGCTGGCCCAAAACTGACCACCGCATGAGGGATGGAATACTTCAACGGTGCGGATATCTGACGGCTTTGTTCTTATAAAAAACAAAGAAACAAAATCACAAACTCATCCGTACATTAGATACATACATCCTACAAAGAGACTAAACCAGAGCTCACCCGCATCACACGGTGCACATGGGGGGACCGGCTCCCTCTGCTCAGCCCCGTTGATGTACAGACTCAGTTCGTAGCTGCTGGACGACAGACCGGAGTGTTTGGAGCTTTCTAATGTCCCCAGATAATAAGAAGAACTGGTTTCGTCATTTTCTCTGTCCGTAGTTTCCTGATAGTCGCCTTTCTGTGCACTGCCTTTCCTTTGGTCAAACCTGGAAAGAAAGAAATTATTATAATACACATGTTGTTTCTCCAAGGGCCAGCAGGTCAGACATAGTTTGGTTGATAATGGAAGGAAACCGTTTATGGTAGACTTTACATGTTAATGGATTGAGAGTCAATATAATGATTAAGTGGTACTCTTTCTGTGATAACAAAAATGAAAAAGAAAGAGAGAGATTGTCAAATAAATTGAAGTCAAGTTTGTTGAAAAGCAGAGACTAGAGTTCATACACATTATTTCTCCATCAAGGATCAGTTCAACTTTCACAAAGTGGCAAGGCAAGGCAAGGCAAGTTTATTTATATAGCACAATTCATACACAAGGCAATTCAAAGTGCTGAACAAAACAAGAAAGCATTAAAATCATAAATTATCACAGAACATTAAAAAGAAAGATACAAATATAAAATCCCTCAGTTGTATGCACAGTTAAACAGAACTGTCTTTAACCTGGTTTTAAACATTGTCAGAGAGGAGGCCTGTCTCACATCTTCAGGAAGACTGTTCCAGATTTTAGCAGCATGAATCTGAAAAGCAGCCTCCCCATGTTTAGTTCTGACTCTGGGCACTAACAGGAGTCCAGTCCCTGTGCTCCTCAGAGTCCGGGCTGGTTCATATGGGACTAACATGTCACTAATATATTTTGGTGCGAGGCTATGGAGAGACTTGTACACAAGCAGAGCTGTTTTAAAGTCTATTCTCTGAGCCACAGGAAGCCAGTGCAGAGACCTGAGAACTGGACTAATGTGGTCGTACTTCCTGGTTCTAGTCAGGACTCGAGCTGCTGCATTTTGAATGTACTGCAGCTGTTTTACAGCCTGTTTGGACAGACCTGTGAGCAGGCCATTGCAGTAGTCTAACCTACTGGAGACAAATGCATGGATAAGAATCTCCAGGTCTGCTTTAGACACTATGTTTTTGATCCTGGCAATGTTTTTTAGATGGTAAAAAGCTGCTGATGTTACTGATTTGATGTGGCTATTAAAATTTAAGTCTGAGTCCAGTATTACCCCTAGATTTCTGACCTTGTTTGAAGGTTTTAGGGAGAGAGACTGTAGGGGACAGATGACGCTCTCTCTTTGTTTCTGGGGACCAAAGACAATCATTTCAGTTTTGTCTGCGTTTAGCTGAAGGAAGTTGTTTTGCATCCACTCACTGATCTGTTGGATACAGTGAAGGAGTGAGTCCACTGGTCCATGTTCTCCTGCAGTCAGTGAGACATAGATCTGAGTGTCGTCTGCATAGTTATGATAGGATTATGATAGGCTTTGTTTCTGCGTATTAACTGACCTAACGGCAGCATGTAGAGATTGAACAGAAGAGGTCCCAGGATCGACCCCTGTGGGACTCCACAGGTCAGGGCCATATGATCTGAGACACAGTTTCCAATCTCCACAAAGTACTTCCTGTCTTCAAGGTAAGACCTAAACCAACTTAGGGCGGTGCCAGTGACGCCAACCCAGTCCTCTAGTCTCTGTAAGAGGATCTCATGGTCGACGGTGTCAAAGGCAGCACTTAGATCTAACAAGATTAAGATTAAGACTTTGCCTGCGTCAGTGTTCAGCCGGATATCGTTTGTAACCTTAACGAGAGCAGTCTCAGTGCTGTGGTGGGGTCTAAAGCCGGACTGAAACATATCAAATGAGTTGTTGATTATAAGAAATCTAGTAAGCTGTAGGTAGACAACTTTCTCAAGGACTTTCCCCATAAATGGCAGATTTGAGATGGGACGATAGTTGTTAAGTACCGTAGCATCGAGACTGCTCTTTTTTAGCAGGGGCCTGATGACTGCAGTTTTAAGGGCCTTTGGGAATATTCCAGAATGAAGGGACATGTTTACTATCTGTGTGAGTGAAGGTAACAGACTGCTCAGAACAGACTTCAGAAATCTAGTGGGTAGTACATCCAAGCTGCATGTGGAGGAGCTCAAACTGGAGATTATCTCTTGGACAGTTTTAGCATTTACAGGTGCAAAGTGAGTTAGCTCAGAGAGCCTTTCTGGCTGTTGGATGGTTATCTGTGGATTGGAGACAATGGCGTTTTTGATGCCTTGAACCTTGTCATTGAAAAAATTAGCAAACTCATTGCATTTACGTTTGGAAGTAAGCTCTAATGGCATTTGAACAGGGGGGTTTTTAATCTATTAACTGTTGAGAACAGAACACGCAGATTGTTGCTGCAGCCTTCAATCATTTCAGAAAAATACCTTTCTCTCGTACTACGTAGCACCCGGTTAAACTCGCACAACTTATCTTTGAAGATCTCGTAATCTACCTGGAGGTTGGACTTGCGCCACTTCCGCTCGGCCCTCCGGCACTTTCTCTTTTGTGCCCTGACCGAGTCTGCTTTAGCCCACGGCGCCTTCTGCTTATTTTTCACTATTTTAACCTTCACAGGGGCAACGGTATCCAGAACATTCAAAACACTAGAGGTGACAGAGTTAAACAGTTCATCTACAGTAGAATACGATGCATTCTCAAAGTTTATCATTTCCATAAATAGTTCACTCGTATTTTCATTTATGCGCCTTCTTCGAACAGTTGCAGAGTCCACTGGTGGTTTGTTAGTGAAACACATGTAAAAAAAAACACAGAAATGATCCGAAAGAGCAACATCGACCACGTTTACATTTGAAATATTCACCCCCTTAGTAACTAACAGATCTAGAGTGTGCCCTCTGCTGTGGGTGGGGCCACTTACGTGCTGAGTGAGATCAAAGGATTCAAGTACAGAACTCAGCTCATTTGCATTTCTGTCATCAACATTATCCACATGAATATTAAAATCACCTGTAATAACCAAACTATCAAAATCTGTGCATACAACTGAAAGCAACTCGGTAAAATTATCAATAAAACTGTGACATGACTGCGGTGGCTTGTATAGGACAACAAAGAGTATTGGAGGAGATTGTTTTTGTTGTATTTTAAAAGACACATATTCAAATGACGAAAACTTCTCAAGAGACATTCTATGGGAGACAAAGTGGTCTCTAAAAATGGCAGCTAAGCCTCCTCCTTTTTTGTTTTCCCGTATTTCAGATTCAAACTTGAAATTTGGTGGTGATGCTTCTATTAAAACTGCATTTTCTGAATTTTGGTCAAGCCAAGTTTCAGCCATGAACATAAGATCAAGATTATGAGAACAAATAAAATTATTGATTAAAAAAGACTTGTTACAAAGAGATCTGACATTAAGCGTAGCAAGTTTCAAAGTTTCAGTATCAGCGGTTGCGGTCGGCTGATTCTTACACGGAACAAGAATTAGATTTTCCTGATTAGACTGATTAACTCCAGATGTTTTTCTGTAATGTATTCTTTGTGTTATCACTAAGGGAATGGCACAGGTGGCTTCATGACAGGGCCCCAGCCGGGTCTCTCCTCTAACTAGACTGCCAGTGACAACAAATATGTCAAAAATGACTTCAACTAGCCAACATTTTTCTTTATTTGAGCACATTGGGGCAGTTTATATGATTATTTTGGGAAATTCAGCACAATTTTCCTCGGAATGACAAAAAATGTGCAACTGCAATTGAAATGATACTAAACTGCTGGTCTCACAAGAGTATTTTGCAATGCATATACTAATGGGAGATTACAAAACTTAATTCAATGATTACAATTACAATTTTAGAGTGTATTTGAACCAATACTGTAAAGTCCTACCCAGTGGGCAGTCCACAGTGGTTCCTGAACTAAGATTCATTTTCCCAATAGGGGTTTTGAATCGTCCAAATAAAGATTCTGAAGGCACACTAACTAACTAGCTTCATGATCACTAATATTTATTTATTGCCCTCTTCTTGTCAATCTTCAACTCCGAAAAATGTGTTAAAATCTTTGCTGTTTCAAAAGTTTCAGATGTTTTTGTTTTTATGTACTTGTACTTATGCTTCAGGAACCATACCTCTCCTCTGTTCTGGTTGAAGAGTTTATCTCCTGATACTGCTCCTTTGGCCAGGTCTCATGTTGTCTCCACTGCCCTCCATCTGTAAACATGCCATAAACACATCTGTACACAAATATATCCAAATATTATAGTAATGTAATAGAGAAAGTGTGCATACCTGGATACTGCTGCTGTCCTCTGTAATAGTCCTGTTCGTAGTAACCATAGCCCTCCCTGTAGTCCCACTGGCTGTAGGCTGGGTAATCGTAACCATGTCTGGAAAAAACAGAAGTTATCTCAGAGGATATTCTATTCTTACTTATTTGCTTTTTTAATTATGCTAAATTTTGAGATTTTACATTTGCTTTCATGATATGCTAAAGATAGAAATGTTTTACTTGCTTCTTCATTATGCTACAGTTAGAGATGTTTTTAAATTTCATTTTAGTACACAGTTATTGTTCATTGATTTTGTGATGTGCGCTCTTTGGACCTATTGTTATGTAACCAGTGATGCAAGAAATAAAGAAATAATCTCTTAATCTTATAGACAACACACTGAATGCATTGTTTGTTATAATGTTTGTTATAGTCTTATATAAGTGTATAATTAATCAAAAAAAGGTGTGTATAAGTAGTCACTAATAAGAGTGAATTGCATAGGATTTCACCAAAATATGAATATTGTGAGAAGTTCGGGGAGCAAACAGGCATCAGTTCATGATTCTATTTTATTACATTTAATCACTATCGCATTGAGACAAATTCATAAATCTTCAGTTAGAAAGCTGACATGGGAATTGTTCAGTTTTGCGAAGCAGCTGTTGGAATTGCAGTGGGAAGTTGTTCCAAAAGAGAATCGGTCTTGGCGTGTTGTAGTAAACACTAGATCTATTTTGTTTCTTTTAAATATTAATAATAATTGGTTTTATATTGCACTTTTCAGGACTCTCAAAGACACTCAGGATGTTCAAGACTAGATCAATATAAAACAGTATTATAAAGTTCTGTCCCAGCAACACATGCGTCATTGTTTTTGCTAAGTGGCCTTATGTGAACTCACTCTCTGCTCATGTCCTCGAAATGTGGTCCAGTGGATGCAAGTATATTACAGAGAGCAGCTTGATAGATAGATCAATTAACTAATAATTACAACACAAACAATTTTATTTTTTGAATAGTTTGTGACGTGTGACTGTATGTGACGTGATAGATTGGGCTTACATAAGCAAGTTTTAATACAGTCAGTGAAAGTAATATCTATCATTAATCAAAATGAACAATCCATCAAAACCAAAATCCAATCCGTACATACCTTGACGGCGGGCGTGGTGGCTCTGACCATCCATAGCCGTAGGGATGGTGCTGGGGTCCATGAGTCAAAGGATCTCCCCTGACAGGACTGGTCACAGGAGGCCGAAAGCGGGAATCTGGATGCCCCCAAGTCCTGTCCCATTCCCTGGGGTCCGGTGGAGGATAGCCCTGCCTTCTGTCATGGTTTGGATACTTGTAATAATCCACTCTACTCTCCTTGGTTTTGGGATTTCCTATTTGTGACCTAGGGCGACTTCTGTGCTCCATCCTTCAATGTCAAGCCTGCGTGAAACAAATCAAAGTTTAAATGGAAGTAGATTGAAATGCAACTGGTCTTATGTTACTAATTTGTTTGGGCTAATGTTAGGTTAATCCAAAGTACAACTCCAAAGTTGATAAGAAGCAGATAGCACTAGAAATAGCCCTATAGATAACAAAGGGGTAAAGTGCATGGGGAAACATGGCCCAATAAATAAAGATTAATTTAGTATGAACATTACTGAATACACAAATCTTACCATATCTGGCTATGTTTGCATTATAGTATCCCAGCCCAGCCCTTGAGTGAAAAGGGCAGGGAAAACAAAACAGCGCACGCTTGATATTTGACAAGTCAAAGAAAGCAGAAAAATCTCTTCAAAGCATAATATCAACAAAAAACGTATTGACAATTTTTTCCCCTCCAAGTTTCAACACGTAAAAATGCGTCTGTTGTTAAACTATAATCATAAAGTGAACTCCCATGGAAAATAGAGAGCAGAGGAGAGCGCCTTGTTGTTGCCACGTTGTCGGTAGGAGAGAAGCAACACACCGGGAGAGAAAAGTCCTGGGCTGGTCTGGGATCAGTTTGTTATGGGAAAAATATGCCCTCAAGGAAACGGTGATACAGTACTGAATAGAGATGTCCTGCAGAGGGCGCTGTTGGAACGCGTAAGAAGAGAAGTCGAATAAGCGTGTACTGTATTTGATATTTAGGTTACTGGGTTACATTCAGGGCAAGCGCCTCAAATGTCGGGATAACTGGGACAACGTGTGAAATTGGATGTGATTTTAATGTTTTTTGTTTGTTTCTAGCATTATATTAATACAATAACAGACAATTATGTTTAAAAATAAATATATTTTAAGGAAGTATGTTGATGAAGATTTTCTAATGCATCCTTTTAACTTGTTTACAACATGAGCCAAAGCAAATTCCTAGCTTATGACTTCCTGTTCCTGTTACTTACTCTGGCAATACACACGTTTTGATTAATAATCTAAATATTTCATTTAAAGCTCCAGTATAACTTTTTGAATGTGGAAAATCACCTGCAGAATTCCAAGGACATCCAAAGTTCAATCAATGAAATGAGACATTCTCTGCTGAAATACATATATTTCATACTGTACAGTGGAAGAGTACAGCCGCGTAACAGCATTTCCATGTAAACAAACAGGAAGAAGCCTTCCAGGCAGAGGTGGGACCAAGTCATTGTTTTGTCACAACTGACTCTCAAGTTTTTCAATTCAAGGGTATCAAGCACAAAGTCAACTCCCACCAGTTGAGTTTCGACTCCTTTCCAGTCATTTCAACAACAGAGAAATATTGTTTACGCACAAAAGGTATAAAAACTGTATATTTATCAACAGTTCTAACACATCTTTCCTGTCCCTATAATGTACCATACGATCCTATTATTTTTGATAATGATATACTGTAATACCATATGAGCTTAGCACATTATTACTATGTTTTACTAATTTTGCATGTACAGATGTAAACATACTGCTGCTAATATACAGATGTAAACATACTGCTGCTAACATGTACAGATGTAAACATACTGCTGCTAATATACAAATGTAAACATACTGCTGCTAACATGTACAGATGTACTTAGTATGTAGTAAACGTACTGCTGCTAATATACAAATGTAAACATACTTCTGCTAACATGTACAGATGTAAACGTACTGCTGCTAATATACAAATGTAAACATACTTCTGCTAACATGTACAGATGTAAACATACTGCTGCTAATATGTAAACATACTGCTGCTAATATACAGATGTAAACATACTGCTGCTAATATACAGATGTAAACATACTGCTGCTAACATGTACAGATGTAAACGTACTGCTGCTAATATACAAATGTAAACATACTTCTGCTAACATGTACAGATGTAAACATACTGCTGCTAATATGTAAACATACTGCTGCTAATATACAGATGTAAACATACTGCTGCTAATATACAGATGTAAACATACTGCTGCTAACATGTACAGATGCTGCTAACATATAACTACACATTGCTTGCACTATACACAGTACTTTATACTTGCCTCTTATTGTGCCAAATGTAAAACTTTTATACTTATTTTCTATTATTATCATTATTTTCAAGATAGAGATTTTATAATTGTTCTTTCATGCTAGAGTTAGAGATTTTGTTTTATTTTAATTAGTATACTGTAGCTATTGTTCACTTATCTTGTGCTGTGTGCTCCTCTTTCCTACTGTTCTATAACTTGTGATGCAACACTGAAATTTCCCCACTGTGGGAAGAATAAAAGATCTCATTAATCTTAAAAGCGTTTTTTTGGGACATTGTGGATGCTTATTTGGTCAGTGTTTTTAAGTGATTTCAATATAAAACAGGTGAAAGAGTGGGAATACTGTGTGAACAATAACAGACAACAGATACGGCCTAGTTTTCAGTGCCAAAAAACATGCTATTTTGTTGGTCTAATTTTGAGATAAAACATTGGGTGCTGAAGCTTTGCCAATAGCCTATTTAAAAAAATAACATGTCAAGAGTGCTTCACAAAAAGACTGCAAAATACATGTAGTAACTAGAGTAGTTGCTTAACCATGTATTCAAACAAACATTTGCCCTAAAACCTGATGGCCAGTGGTTCTTCACACTCGTCTGTGTGTGGCCGTCTGTGCAGCACTGAGCAGATGTCCTTACACTTGTTTTGTGCCTCCTTAAGCCAGTAACACACTCTGGAAGGTCATGAGGGTATCCTGGGACTGACCTATCTCTGGACACTTGTATTATCTCAGGACAACAGGCCACAGTCTGCAGGAAAACCCAGCCAATATGCAAAACAAAAGCAAACAATTTTCTGTCTATGTTGGAGCCAATTGCTTGAATCCAGTGCTTTCATACAGACAGACGGTTGGAATTCCCAATACAGACTCTGATATAACATATGTTTGAAATAATTTTATATCTGTTAGTTGTAAACATTGAGCATGGCTATAAATTAATTCAACAATAGCATTTTTTTTTAACAACACGGTGTACAATATTTGGTACACATTCACAAGGGGTCCATGTTTAAGCAAATTCTCATTCAAAAGATATAATATGAGAAGGGTAATATCTATTGCAAGATAAAGAAGTTGTAGTCATTCAGAAGAGTAAATAGCTGCAAAGATCATTCGGAAAACATTGTTAAGTACACTATGCATATGATGATTATGCATAAGGGCAAAATAAATACCTGATGAAGAAGAACCTTTCAGGAACAGCAGCTAATGTACTTAACAAAGACGGTGCATGAAAGTCTGACACTCTGAGTCTTAGTTTCCCCCAAATCATTAGGAAGAGAATTTGTTCACAAGGAGTACAAAGGGGAAAGGCTCCTGGTTTTAGTTTTGCACAAGGAACGGCAGAAAAGAAAGCGCACAGGTTCATAAGGCACAAGGAAATCAGAGCTATAAGGATGATAGACTGTGAGGGGCTTTATAAACAAACTGAAGGATTTCTGTATTTTAAAGTGATTTTATCTCTGATGCAGGAGGGTCTATAAAGACAGGGGCTGATCCAAGACATGGGTTGAATCGTTACCCTATGGACAAATGATTCTTAGAGTCTGGTTCTCTTTAACTGGACTGATTCTGGTTCTGATTTTCTAATCTGCAGCTGGCAAATTGAGGATTACCATTGCAACAACATATCATCAGTAGGGTAAAACTAATCCATCTCCCGGACGATCTAAACCCATCTTATATTCCCTATGACTGGGTTATTTTGGATGGCACACAAAATGAATTGATGATTGTTTGTGTAAAGTCCTCCGAGATACTGCTGTGATTTAGGGCTATACAAAAATAAATGTAATTGATTTGAATATACAGTAGTGGGTTGTCAGTGGGCACATTATGATGCACATTATAACTTCAGTACTGCACATAAAAATATCCAAACCTATTTTTCTTTCTATTTTAAGCTATCCTATGACCCCATGCCTGCAGTGTGACCTCTCTGCTTTTCTCTCTCCCACCTCACAGGTCTAAGGTCACCAGAGTTTGCTTTCTCAGGCTGCAACTATAGATCTGCTTTACAGTTCTCTGGCTGCAACCGAAACCACACGAGGTCGCAGTGTTCACAAGGATCGTGCATGACTCCCGGACCAGGTTTTTTTTTTTTTTTTACTACGACTACGGGGCCAATGGAAGCAGACATATGCAAATACTGCTGGCACCGGGGCGGCTCCATTATCTGCCTGCGTATTCATCAGATACTAGCTTTGCACGCATCTGCACAGTTACTGACAGCGCGCAAAGGAATAACCACGCTCCAACGCACTGGACGCACTGGATTTCTTTGGATCTAACTTGCCTTTACGGATGTGCAATATGACTTTTGAAGAAAACAGCGGGGAGAATCAATCGGACAGGTTAGCCATGCATTTTTTTTTTTGCATCAGCAACTCTATAAATATGAATATTTTTGGTGCACGTATGACGCATTTTAGTATAATTCTTGCACTTTTACGCACATTACCAACCATGCATGCTTTGATTATTACCTAAATAACATTTTTGCTTGTGGATTTTTGTGTTTACTGTTGTAATTTGCGTTTTAGTCCAATGCAAAGTTTCATCATTCGGGATATGTTCGGACAAGTGCATGGGTCCAGCCAACGTCAGAACGTGCTGCTAATGCTAACCGGCTTTTAGCTAACTAATAGTTTTTGCTAGCTTGCTTTTTTTTCGTTAGCTAACATGGAAAAAACTTTGCATAATGCGTGATTTTTGATTTTATTTCAACTTTTCCACGCCACATCACCACACGTATAAAAATGTTTTTATATACTGCAACGTTACATCACATGTTTCTGCAATGTTGTTTTATTAATAGCTTAATCAGCAAATGTGATTGTTCGTGGTATGTAGTGAAATGGGTGAAAGATCATAAAACCTGACTCTTTTTGTTTTTTTTCCAGGATGGAATCAGTGGCAACAGCGCTAGAAGAGGTCCTGAGCTCTGCATTGCCCCAGGGTTGCATCACTGTTGGAGTTTATGAGGCAGCCAAATCACTCAATGCGTAAGTTTACAATAGCCAAAACCAGCATGTCTTTTGTCAGTACATGGACTTGTATGTAAAAGACAATCCATTCTGCAATTGTTTATTTGTTGCAGCCTTTTACAGTTAATATAATGGCAATCAACTCTCCCAGTGGGGCATACATTAGGTTTACTGCCATGTCTGCATTATTCGAGATTTTTTCCTTCCAAACCATTTTGTTCCTTTCTGAGTATCTCATTAAGGAAATCACCGAACAAGTTATGACTCAACAACTTAACATTTAACTTCCCCTAACATTCTAACAATGAAGTTATACATAAGCTGTATTGGTTTCTATGGGCACACCACAGACACAGTGGCATAGAGAGAGTGCCAGTTCAATATTTTTAATTTTAAAGCAACACATGCTAAATAATAATGGGAAAAGTATTATGTATCAATAGTCAATGCAATGAAAGACACTTTATGTTACAATGATATGGTTCATGGCCATTGTTAAAAACACATACAGAACTTGAGATTGAATGGTATGGTATGGCTTATATTTTTACAGGGACAGTTTAAAATAAACATTAGCCAAAAGGAGAGGGGAGAGTGTAGCAGGTTGTAGCAGCAGTGCTAATTTACATTCCTGAGCAGGTTGTTGTAAAACAGTATAATAAAAGTGGATGTATGCATGACCATACAACATCACACATACATCACTAGTCCTGCAGAACAACCCTATCATAACAATGTATTAAAACAATGCTTTCTATTCTTGCTCTAACAGTGACCCAGACAACGTGGTGCTGTGTCTGCTCGCCACAGACGAGGAGGAGGACGTCGCTCTCCAGATTCACTTCACCCTCATCCAGGCCTTTTGCTGCGAAAATGACATCAACATCCTGCGCGTGAGCAACATGCAGCGTCTGGCAGAGATTCTGGGCGGAGGGGTGAAGCCTGCAGCCGACTTGGATCTCCACTGCGTTCTAGTTACAGTAAGTGTCGTTAGTCACAACTGCTTACAACACGTTTTCCCACTTAGGGTTTCCCAGTGCTGCCTTCCCACCAGGCCGTGAAAGGCAGCTATTGTTTGGCCAGGTATCTGTGTGAGGGCTTTGTTTCTGCAAGGGCTGAAAAGAGCTGTTGCTGGCATTTACGATGGAGTGTGTGTGTTGTATAAAGCGTGGAAAAGTCAGTTTGGTTTTGGGGTTTTTGGGATAAGTGCCTAACATAGTAATTTGATATTCAAAACTGAGAAAGGCACAGTTATACATCTTAAACCTTGGATTACCTTCAAAATCTAACATTATTTTCTTTGTCACAATCCAGAAAATTATGTTGACATTTCATTTCATTCGTTTTGAGTTGTGTTGCTAACTAACAATCAGACAAACTCTTGTGATAACATTACCTCCTCACTTGTCCAAAACAGGCCCCAGGTATAGTTAATGAAATACTAGCACTAAAACTATTTGAAATGTTGATAAGAAAACTTTTCATCAACCCACAGAGAGTAAGTTTCACTTTTACCATTCAAAGGTAGAAAAGAAAGCACTCAGAGCAAGATGAATAGGAAGAACTTTTTCTTTCAAAACCACTACAATTTTTTCATACATACATAGACAATTTACTCAACTTGCCACTATAACTTTACTCAACGCTGATGACTTCAAATTGAGTGCTGTGAACTGCAAAAAGAGTAGGGTTTGTTATGCATAATAATAAATGCTGATGCCTTATGTTATGAACACTGTTGTTACACACTCACTAACCATTGTGTGTTGTTTTTGCAGAACCCTCAGTCTTCCCTGTGGAAAGACCCCGCTCTGAGCCAAGTCAACAGATTCTGCAGAGACAGCCGCTGTTTGGATCAATGGGTCCCGGTCATCAATCTGCCCGACCGATGAAAGCACTTGGATTTTAAACTGTGTGTGCAACAAAAAAAATGGGATATTAACTGCACAAGTGTTAATGTCTTGTCTTGGGACTTCGTCAGGCCCCTCCACGGATCATACTCTGGGAAGTGAGAGCAGAGAGAGAGAAAGAGAGGGAACATTGGAACCAAAGTGCTCAAGGAAGCTGGCTGCAAATACAGCAGGTCAGGGCTGACACAACGGTGACTCAGCAAAAGCGCCTTCCAGGATTACCAAAGGATGACTCCGCTTTTTGCTGAGAAAGAAAGCGGAAATTCAATCATGTCGGCGGAGATAAGCACATGTGGTTGGCGACGGGAGAGAGGCGAGAACGTGAAGGACCAAATGACTTCCGACACAATCCTCACAAGACAAATCCAAGTGCACATTATTTATTTATATTATTTAAGTCACTTAAGAAGGGAATGCTTTCAAGTTGTTCTAAAGGCAATGCAATGTTTGGCCGTCTTGTTGTTTTTTTTGAATGTGTTCAAGATGAAATTCATATTTATTGTGCAAAGTTCATGAATCGATGCCTTTTTCGTTAAGTTGGATGAAATAAAAACAACTTGTTCTGAGATAATGTTTTCTGTTGTCAATGTTCCTCTACGCAGTAACATAGTGTGCCCTGTACCAAAGTGAACGCCTTTTTTGGCCATCTGCCCTGGTAGTTGTAAATCCGGAAAGGACGGGGAGATTCTGGGTGGATTTTCACATGCCAAAAGCAATAATATTGTTTTTTCGGCGCCGATTGAGTAATGGCCAAGCAATGAGGAAAGTTAATAAGACGTATATTAAGAGTAAAAGGGACAGTGGCCTATAAAGAAATAAAAGTTACAGGATTGTAGTAATGTTTTGGCATAGATAGTGGAAAACTAAGAAAAACAAGTCCACTGCTTTTTCCCAGATTGATACATGTCTAACAAGGATTTTATTCTTGTCTGGTTACTACAGAAAATATTGCAAAATCCATCCATCCAGTACATATACAAACGACTCCTGTTTTCAAAATGCATTGCCACAAATAAACATAAACTTGCCTTGAAACTGATGGGAAACAATGCATATAACAGGCAAGGCAAGTTTATTTGTATAGCACAATCATAGAACAAGTTGAGTGTTTATTTTTTTCGAGTTCAATGTACATCAAACATTATCAAATGTCACTACATAGAATTTTCTAACAAATCATTCATTAACAATTTACTATTATAATACTGTACATTATTCATCCATCCATCCTCTTCCCCTTAATCCATTTCTGGGTCGGGGGGTGACAGTCAGAGCTGCACCCTTCATTTATTCATTAATTATTCATTTATTCAATTAATTAAGCATGTATAAAACATGTCTTCTGTCTGAATTTAAGACGCGATCCCAGACTTTGTCATCTTCTTCACCACGTATAGAGTCTAAAAATAAACTCTTTTGCATGTTCCCGTCTCTGCTATTTTGATCCAGTCAGCTGTAAATTTAGCTCAGATTGCACAGAGGCAGCAGCGTGGAACAATGGGAATCCTCCTCCTCTCAGTGAAACCCGAGCCTTTTACTGAGCCAAAGGTCAAGTTTAAAACAGTTCCCAGACAGGTTAACTTAACTAATCTCACGCTGCAGACGCTCTCAAGAGAAGCACACAACGTGAGAAGTTGTGAGAAGAAGCAAATATAGTTCAGGGGCCGTATTCCTAAAGATTCTTACTGCTAAAAGTTGCTCCTAGTGGCCAAATTCTAAGAATTTTCTTAGAATCTTGACCAACTCTTAGAATTTCCCCTAAAAGTGAGGAGTAGCTCCTAGTTAAGATAAAAGCTATTCCTAAAAAATCCTAGCTCTTAAGAGTGCTCTTAAGGGGAGATCCCTTAAGAGTTGAGAGGAGGACTTTTAGCGACTTAAAAGTTCCCTAAGAGCACAAAATGGTGGACGGTGGAGACAGGAGAAATATTCTATACACTGGATGACAGTGAATCAGTGAAACGCTACAGATTCAAGCAGGAATCATGTTTGTGGTATATTTAAAAGTCAATCATGTGACCAGCTTCTCATTGGCTGGTCAGCAATAACACCTCATCCATTTTACCTTTGTTACACAAAAGTAAGTAGAAATGGTAAAAGTTGAAAGAGAGGAAAAAGTGGTCCTAAATTGTCACACATTCAGTACGAATGAATGAATACTTTATTTTGAGCTATGGCAAACAAGAAAAAAAAGGACAAAACAAACAAAACAACAACAGAATAGAAGTACAAATATACAGTTTTGTTTTATTAACAACAATCCAGCTCAAAAAGGAGTGGGAGAGGATAAGACTTTTAAGCTCCCTTGTACTTGATTTGTACAGTGTATGTATAATATGTTTATATTAATATTGTTTCCTTAATTCCTTATAAGTCTATACATATCACAGCCTTTACTAATCCTAACGTTATCATTATCATCATTTATCCATATAATATTTATAATAATAATTTTCTTTATCATGTATATTATATATAGAGTAATATTTAAATTATATGTATATATATATATATATATATATATATATATATATATATATATATATATATATATATATATATATATATATATATATATATATATATATATATATATATATATATATATATATATATATATATATATATATATATATATATATAAAATTATAAGTGCTCATGATATATACGTATTATGTGTGGTAACTTGGTGCTGAGCAAGCTCTGATGATGGTGTATAAGTCTAACTTTACTATTCACAGTATTTATGTACCATTGATATATCTGACTTTATAGCTTTTGGTTATTATTTACAATAACACAGTGTTCCTAAGATTAGATTCCATGATTGAGTTTGTCCATTTTAGGGCCCTTATTTTGCCTATTATCATCAAAAATATGTTTGTTCTAACTTTTAGGATCAACCAATCACAGCGTCTGAAATGATGACTCATACCTAGCAACGGGGTCGGCCACGCCTCCTCACTAAGATAAAAGTTGTTGTCAATTCCTTGCTCAGAGTTCTCTAAGAGTGTTCTGGAATAACTTTTAAGCTAAGACTCCTAGCTAGGAGTTTTTAGGTTAAGATAAGAGCTCTCTGAGAGGACTCTCAGAATCTTTAGGAATACGGCCCCAGATCTCTTGAAGAAACCGTTGAGGAGAGCGACCTTTGTCAATGGAAATTTTTGCATAATGGAAAACTGAGGTCATTCAAAAACTTGTTTTATATCTATATCCTATCAGCCTTTACTTGGTTTAATGCAATTTAGTTTTATTTCAGTTAAATTCAATACAATTACATGTACAAAGTCAATTCACAAAAAACAGATCAGAGAATCAGACCGTTTGAATGCAGGAAATGCAATATTAACAAACATAGGAGCCATTGGTGCTAGAGGGTGGGATGACCAATATCCATAAATATCAATAAACGTCCTGGATCATCACTGTCCTTAGACCCTCCTGCGTCGGTAAGGAACGATCCTCTTAATCCACCTGCGACTGGAATGCAACCTGATTGAATGAATCGTGTGGATCACTTTCTATTTGGATTACGTAATTGCTTTGGCAGCTGAAACCTAGATAGTTGTGAGGATTTGGATCCATTTCAACTCATTTCAACACTTCTTTGTTCATCGGACACGCACACACACCTGTCTTATTCCACAGAAAAGGTCACTGCTCATCCTGCAATGTTCCGTAAACCACAGAATGACATTTAAACTGTGTATCTCCATGGAAACAGGCAGGTGATCGGAGTTAGCTCATCTTTAAGTGACCTGTCCAGATGTCTTGGCTGAGATGAGTACTCAACACTCAACATTCAACAACATTTATGGACATTTATGGACATTGGTCATCTGCCCCTTATGAACCAATGGCTCTGTGTGTTTTTTTATCATCGCATTTCTTGTGTTTGAACTGTTTGATTCTCTGATCTGTGTTAGAAAATTCAACAATTTTGTTAAGTCCTCCAAGACAACTTTTGTTGTAATTTAGGGCTAAACTAGAATACATTAAATTGAATTGAACATGTCCCAACAAAATCAACAAACAAAACAGTTTCACAGACATCAGGCCGAGACCAAATGTTTAAGAACCATAGACTAAAGATCTTGTTTTTTTTTTTTTCTTTTAGTTCACCCAAGTCCATATGGATATCTGGATTGGTCCTGTTACTGTTAATCCAAATAACTGTGTTATCCATGAGTTTCAGAATGAGTATTGATGTGATGAAAGGCTCAAAACTATTTTGTTATTTTGAATTTTTTTAAAAATGCATGATAATACAGACAATTAGCCTTCCTTAAAGCTGGGGGACCCAACTTTCAAACCAGAAGTACCTCTAGTTTTCCTTTTGTCTTGGCTTTTGTCTCATCTTTGGATCATCTTTTTCAGACACAAATATGAAGAAGATAGGACCAAAAGATGCAGCAAGTCATTCACCTTTTTAATAGGAAAAACAACATTTATTATAATTGAAAAAACCGAAGTACCCCACAAGAAAACATATATGAATTGAGTTACATTGTTCAACATTATGCCAAAGGTATAGATTTTATATATATACAAATTATATATATAAAACGAACTCTGAAGTCAGAGTTCTTTGTACTCATGCTAAAGTCAGATTTTATACTTTTATCTTGTGCTGTGTGCTCCTCATTCCTACTGTTCTGTAAGTGGTCATGCAACACTGACATTTCCCCACTGTGGGACAAACAAAGCATCTCTCTTAATAGTTCAATAAGCTACTTGGAATATACTTGAATACACCAACGCCACTTATAACTGCCACTATTTTGCAATTCAATACAGAATTAAAGTAAAGTCATGTGTGTAAAATGACTGTACAATTATCTCATTTTTCCACATAATGCTCCCTCTATTGACATGGTTGTGTGTGTGTGTGTGTGTGTGTGTGTGTGTGTGTGTGCGTGTGTGTGTGTGTGTGTGTGTGTGTGTGTGTGTGTGTGAGCAGAGAACCCTAGAACTCATTGGTCTTT